ATTATTCTCATTAGAGCTATAATTCAGAAATTCTTGAACACCCTGATTTTATCCTGGTTCCAATTTCCTGCTGCTTATGTATTATAGGAAATTTTCTAACTCAGTATGAGCTGAAATTTTCCAATTTTGTCCCTTTGTTAAAGTTCTTAGTTAAGATATAAATGAGTGACGATACAAGATCAAAGTTGGTCTTCTTATACAGTCCACTTCTGCCTGTAAATACTCAACGTCTTAGATTTATTTTATGCATAAAACTTGGTTTTTTTAATATTTCGCTGCGAGTCATTCGGAAAATTTGGTTGGAAGTGTACTGCAGATTCAACGATAAACGATTGCTATGTAAATCCGTATTTTCCTGACTTAAAAATTACTGCATTGACCTCGTTTCCAGAATGTGTTTTGATACCCAAAAAGGCTAGTGTTGATTTTGAGGGTTTGGAATCAACACGTCCTATGGCCTGTTTTTTTACCCATCCTTCCATTGACCATTTCCTCCATTATCAAACTAGTTTATTGTTTGTTTCGCTTTAGGTCATGTGATAGGTATTCTTGAGAGTTTTCGTTGCTAGAGAGCAGCAAAAATCTCAATGAACAGTTGGAGAGCGGGGGGGGGGGGGGGTGTAAGATGGTGTCTGTGCTGATAAAAACAGTACTTTGCAGGCCAGACAGTCTTGCAGAAGGCATGTGAACATCACGTCGATATAACTTGTGACTGACTTGGGGGGGGGGGGTAATCATGCGGGGGAAAAGTTTTATGTGGGAGAATTTTCGAGAAGTGAGGAGACAAGGAGGATTTGCATAGCAGCCGCATATTTACATCTCGTTATGTTTGACTTACATAATCGATGTACTGTTTTTTGGAAAGGGAAGTGGGTGAGGCGAGAGCATATAAGTTTTGCAGGAGAGGTATTTGCAGCTATAACTGCGTGAAAATAATCACTTCTACGTGCAAACGAGTTACTATCGTAACCTTACCGTACCCGTGTCGTGCCCATATCTCTCTTAACCTTACTTACAGTAGATTTTACACTCGAACATTAGCCCTAATTTCTTCCGACAATATATGAATCATTCCATATATATAATTTATCAAGCAACAAAGAACACGATGTTTTTCGCTAGCCCCGTCCAGCATGGTTGTAACACCAGCGAATATTTCGCAATACTGCAGAACTTTCTGCCCACATTGTAAAGATGTGAATCATGTTTGCATATCAAAACACTGTTAAACACTGTCTGGGGAGAGTCTTGAGTCTTCTAACATTCCGTCCCCATCATTAATCGTGCGTGGACAGCCGTCGTGATCAAATTTTATACTTTTATTTAGTTAGAATGCTATCAAGCCTCTGCTTAACCGGTCGAAGTTCAATCAAAATTTAAAAACTTGTGAGTCCCATATTCACGTCAAATTGAAGGCTTGTTCTTCAAGTCACGCCATTGTTTTCGCATAATTCTTCAATAAAACTTTACGATCTGGTCAGATTCCATTTTTATCTTGCTTTGAATCATTTGGAAATCCCATATAACAACCGCTCTAATTTTTGCTGAAATCAGACATATCAGACGCTTCTAGGAATTTGAAACTCTTATGGATGCGAACTATACACATTTTTATTTCAGTTTTCCTTGTCAAGTCTTCCACATAAAATCCTTAGTGCCTTTAACTTTTTCAGTGAAACAACTAGACCAGAACTGAACTAGATGAATCCATTGTCTTTGAATTCTTTTTGTTAGTAGATACCGAATCATCAAGTTACATCTACCGCTTTTGTAGCACGGGGCTTAGGACTACTGTAATAAATGAAAAAATAATGAGTGGATGGAATATTTGAGATGTGAGGATTATTATCATCACCATTAAGTAAATCAAAAGTTGGTGGTGCTACTCTTTATCATCAAAGTCTTAAATCAAATTATTCCCCATTGAACCCTTTGATAAGTTTCCAATGTAAAAATATGGAGTTATTGAAGACCATCATTGGCCTCTGAATTGATTAATTGTGAAATTAGGGGTCTGCTCTGGATCCTTTCCAGAAACATATCTTTTGACTTATCAGCATTGGACTGGAAGTCTATATGCATCTGATGGAGAGTTCTGGAAATAGCCCTGAAGATCCGCTTTTCATTAAAATTGATAGAAAATTTTTGTCACGAAGGAAATCTGTTTCTGCACAAACGTTTTCACTTTCCATGCAAGGTTAGATTTTGCTCCGAAGCTACCATTTATAATGGTGATTTAACATTTTTTAGTTCATGCGAATAACATCACTATTATGTGTTCTGCTGATCGTTATTTATAGCTGCTTTGAATCGGTCATGAAAATATCGACATGCAATGTCTCGTGCTGCATAAATCATTCAAATAGCGAACAATACATTTCGTAACTCGTCATTTAACTCTAGAGCACGAAATCGATGCCTTCAGTATTTTTATAGTCTATATTTACCGACCTATTTGGCGTGATAAGTGATGCTTTCTTTTTAACAAATGTGAATTTTTTTCTTGCGACTTTTTTTACAAATCAATTTTCAAATTGTTGTGCACACTATACATCCATACCGAGGCAATATCATCTCAGCCATATGTTTATCTCCATTAGTAATTGGCCGGATGTTTATCCATCTGTCACGGCATTGCCTTCACAATAGTTATCGCGAAGTGAACTATCATTCCAAAATGGCAGTCGTATCCCTTCGAATATGAATTTCTGATGGTATGGCTAGGATATACAGGGTTTAGGGAATGTTTCTGGAAGATTCCGTGACCATATTTCTTTTCCTACAAAATTATAACGTCGTAATTATTTGTTCTGGCCTTTTCTCCATCAGAACCAGCACGCATAGGTTTAGAATGCTTAGTGATGTGTCTCATACCGTTTTCTAGAATTTTCGATCAGTGCGAGCGATCAACTCGGTCACCTGACAGCTTTGCATTTCAATGACTCCGTAATTTGATTCACAAATCAACCCTTTTGTTTCATTGATCCTTTGTTTCAAATACTGCATGATCGTCTCCATCACAAAAAAAGGAATAGAATTTAGTGTAGGAATCATATGTCGCAAAAATGAAGTTTGGGGCTTTGCATTTTGTTTTCTTCCAAAAATAATCATTCGTTCTGCTGGTTGATAAACACGTGAATGTAAATAGATATGTATCTAGCACTTCTTTGTTCGAAATGTTGATTTGTCCTCTATATGGCTAAAAAACTTGCATTTGTTTCGTCGAAATATTAAGGGGGTCCCAATTTCTCATCGTTGTTTTTCAAGCAGTAAACAGAGTTCAGTTTTAGTTTTTGAACAGCAACAATACTATAGTTTACCCTGTTTTTGGGACAGTTCTAAGCCGGGGGGGGGGGGGGAGGGAAGAGAATCTTTTCTGTTTTCACCTCAGTCGTTCTTCACCTCAGAGTCACCTATAATCAATCTCATAGCCTTTCTGAAGATGAACTTGGTGAGAAGACTGTGCATCTGATTTCCTTTTACGGGGCAGTATATTTTAATTTTTTAAGAAGAAAAAAGGGGAGTGACCACCTGGTACAACACTTCATTTGCTAGTATCTATTTGAGAAATATGGTGAAAACAGACTTGACCAGACATTGAGAAAAAATCGTATCCAGCAAATATGAATATCTGGTGGCCGTCAGAGAGAGTTATTCGGGTGGGGGGGGGGGGGCGCTATGAAACTTTCTGAGATGCTTCTAACGAGGGAACGATCCTAACTTAAGGTGGCGATTTGGAATGAACCGCATATTATTAGATGCGCCTTGATGAGCTGGTTCCAAATCTACCTTCCATATCTGCGACAACGTTATTTGCAAAAAGTTATGAGCGGTTGAAAATGTGAAGTTATTGGGGTTTTAATGCATAATGTGCTTCAAAATCCAACTTGAAAGTGTATGACTAGCATGATATTGGGTGTACTGATTTCAAGTACAAATAAGTATTTTTGAACAACTGATTTTCGAGAAATGGCGCTGTAAATTTGCCAAATTTGGATTTCTTGCTCATAGCTTTTACCAGAAAGCTTTAGTTGCTTTTTAGCTGTTCAAAAACACTTATTTGTGTTTCTTTTGAATGTGAGCATTCCGTGAAATCAGTACACTCAATATCATGCTAGTCGTGCACTTTCAAGTTGGATTTTGAAGCACATTATGCATTAAACCCCCAATAACTTCACATTTTCAACCGCTCCTAACTTTTTGCAAATAACGTTGTCGCAGATGTGGAAGATAGATTTGGAATCAGCTCATCAAGATGCATCTAATGGTATGCGGTTCATTCCAATTCGCCACCTTAAGTTGGGATCGTTCCCTCGTAAGATTCGCGTACCGACATTCCAGCGGTAGCGCTTTAGAAATTTTTTCCTTGCAAAGCTAATTTACATCGATATAAAAATATGGAAATCATATATTTTAATCGTTTACAACTGAAACCAAGTCATCCGCGCTGTTTTATAGCTCAGGCCATTTTCAGAAATTTTGCGACCCATTATTGGGGGGATCCCTTGGTCCGCCACGGGAGGAGTATCTCCCTGGAAATTGTTTTCTCCAATAATCATCCAAATAATCGTTAAGACTTTTTCATGATGAATTTTTGGCTTTCTCCTTTCCCCCTCCACCCCCCCCCCCTCCATCGTGTCTTGATATATGTCAGGAGAAGTTATGATGGACTTACTTCATAGAATAGGGATATTAACCAACCATACGATTGACCAGCTTTTCGTTTGCCACTCTTGCCATATAGATATCACAAAATTTCATCCGTGCTTTTCTTCATATTTTTTTACATAATCCATCTCCTGAGCTCGCCAACATTTCATTCCAATTCCTCACGCACTATTTATAGCTCTTTGTTTTTTCTACGTTGCTTGTGTTTTTGCCTTATCGCGCGAACCATCCATCTGTTGCTGTTACCAGCGCTCCCTTCGTCCTCTTACGTGCCGTTTAACCTTCAGTATTTTATCCCTCAAAAGATATTTCTCAAATCATTTCACTTTCAGGACTCATCTACTAACAAATCAGAAGATTCTACAGCTATGAGTTTTTTTGTAGGTTTCACTTTCATCTAAAGTGAAAGTAACTATGAGTTATGATTTTTTAGCACGATCTCAAAGAAACAGCAAAGTCGGCTGCTGCCAAAGTCGGCGATGTAACCGAAGAGGTACGGTAAACCCATTTTTCTTGTCTTGGTCATTTAGTGTACTTTCGCGTTAAATCTGGTGTGCCTTCATCGTCAGTGATACAAAAGTCGTTGAATTTTTTCAAAGATACAGAAAAATTGCACATTTTTTCTTTCTTGCCAACTTTTTTCGAGAAACAAATTAATACCGAGGACCAAAATAATGCTTGGAGAGAACACATTGAATGTTTGCTTGTGTATTATACACTGTCGAATGGATCTGTGTAATCTGTGTGATATGTGCAATTGCACAATATACTTGATAGTCGGCGCCTTCTGTTTGAGTTGTTCTGCGATTAGTTGATAGAAAATTCTTTATCTCTGGAATATGATGGAAAATTGATTTCTAAACAATCTGTTCAATCTTGATTGCAAAAGAACTCAAACAAGTCTGCATGTCGTCAATCATAATGTTGTGCAACTGCACACATTACCAGAAAATTCTTTTCCAGGTGCTTCATAGCGCCAGTACGACAACTTCAGGCGCTGCTCATAGCGTTGGTGATGTCCTTCAGGATACTAAGGAAGCGGCTGCTGATGCAGTACGTAAAAAATCAAAAAAGTATTTTGTTATCTCAAAAAATGGCCTAAATTTTAGGTCCAGGCAACTAAGGGATTCATGTTCGGCTCGAGTGCAAATCCAGATGCAGCCGAAAGGCTTGAGGGCGGATTTGAGCATGTCGAGGTGGGTTTTTTGATATTTTTCTTTCAAATAAAAAAGGATTATAAAAATAATTCGAATGCTTAGATTGATAAGTAAGTTATGCACTAACAATGTGGAAAATTTGTAATTTTTTTCAGCTCTCAAGAAATCAAAAAATCTTGCTCATTCAGTTAAATTGGATTAAAAGTGCTCGAGGCAAATTATTATATTGCCATATTGCAATGAGACAAGCTGAAGAAAAGCAGTCAAGATTTTTCTGAATTAAAATTGCTAAATCTAAAAAATGCTCAGTTTATTTCTATTTTTGGTTTCATGACATGCTTTTTCTATAAAATACGAAAAAAATTCTTGCCTGCTGAAGGTACGAACAGTTACGACTATCGGATTTTTTTAATACAATTTTTGCATTCAACTCGAAAATTCTGGGATATAGTAGAACTTCTAATATAGGTTACAATCAAATTATATGCTCAAAAATTAATCAAATTTTTAAGCTGAATTTTTTACAATTTTTGGTGCAAGACTTGTGTGTCACTAGTAGAAAATCAGTTGGTTGAATATACACGATTTAAAGGACGCACTTACACTAACCTCTTATCCACATGTAACACTCTCATATAGGCTACAATTAATGTACTGCCAGGCGTATATTGAAGGAAATGAATCATAAAATCAAAAAATATGGCGCGGTATAGTTTTGCCGTAATTTGCGTGAATTTCATCCACAAGACAACTAGAAATAATATTTTCAGCAACACACTAATACTCTTTGACCGTTTTCAACTCTGCTTTATTAATTAGTGGGCGTGGAGCACATAATAATGTTTAGACGGTGAGAAAATTGAATCCAGTAGAACGAGAAGCCGCAGACGCATACTTGGCTGCAGAAGCAGCCAAGGTAAGTGTATCTGTGACAATAAAAAATAGCGTTAGGCCATAGTATGGTTCTAAATCTGAATAATAAGCTAATATGGTCCGTTGCTTACTCACACTATATAGACTAGAGTAAATGTTGGCTAGTTAGCGGTCCTGAGTGGAAGACAGCCACGGGGCAAAATTGAGGACTTGGTAATTTCTCAAAAACTCTGAGTACCATTCAATCGAGCCTGGGCGCTAAAAGTGGTGCAGTTGCACAATTCGACCACTGAAACGCAGCCATTCGAAAGTTTCAAAGTTTCTATACAATGTTATCTAGGCGAAAACGATGGATGAGCTAGATCGCAGAGCAAGAGAGGGTTACAAGGCTGCCGCTGCAGCCAAGGTGAGAATTTGAAAAAAGATTCGTAGAGAATAGTTTTATGTAGTGTCGTGATTGCAGAACTTGGATGAAGAAAAATAATAGAAGAGTAGTTTAACACTATAGTAAAAATTTAGAGGATTTGTCAAAGGGTTCGAGGGCCGCTAGAAACATTTTTGACGCAGTGTCTCGGCAGAATTTCGTTTTCCAGAGTTTTACTTATTGGGAGCCTTCTCGCCATAAAGAACCCACATCTGATCTTTTTTGCGCCTGAAAATGGCGAAAATGAGCTTTTTCCGAAGCTTTACAGGTCCGCATTCAGTGGAGAATACGCACAAGTGGGCGGGGCTCGGAACTAGGGAGGCGGGGCACGAAAGGCTACCGGCGTGTCTTTACTGAATGTGGACCTGAAAAGATTCGGAAAAAGCTCATTTTCGCTATTTTAATGCGCTGAATAGTATGGATTCCTCATGGCGAGAAGGCTCTGAAAAGGTGAAAAATGGAATACTAAATTCTGCCGAGACACGGCCTCTAATTCTTATGGTTAGGAGTTCCACCTTTAAATGACCCTGTAATCTGTGCTAAATAACTAATTGAAAAAATTGTAATATTCTCAATTTCCAACCACTTTATGAGACTAGACTCCTAAAACTATAGCTTGAGCAAGTTCAACAAAAACTATGAACAACAATCAAAAGCTCAAAATGAGCTATAAACCAATTCATAGAATTTTGCAACTTTTTTACTATCTGCGCAAGTTTTGCAATATATGTGAAGTAAACATAATTTCATCCCATATTTCAGGCAACTACCCTCAGAACTGCAGACGTTGCGCACGATCCCAGAGTCAAAGTGGAGACCAAGGTACCGTGATCTTACCGTATTTTGCTTTATATGACGTGATGCTAAATTCGACTCAAATCAAACTTCTTTCGAAGTCTATAGTGACCTACCGTATCTTCTTGCTACAGTGTGATACCGTATGTGTAGAAATTGCGCGAAAAGCAGTACTCATTCAAACTTCGTATAATTTTTGTCCTCAAACAACCCCTTGTTCTTTATTTGGTAACCACTGTCTCCTTGAATATACCGTTTATGCCGCTACAATATGCTGTTAGCGTAAGCTGTAAAAATTCTAGGAAAATTTGTGTTCAAAGTAATTCCGACTTTGATGCGGATTATGACGTCATCATTTTTCAAAACCATATTTTTTTCAGACAGTCATTGTAGAAAAAGAACCTATCCATCACGAATCCTATCACGAAGCCGGACATGTAGAACACGAGTCGAAGGGGGTGAGCATCTTGTTTTTTTTGTGGGGGGGGGGGGGGGAGTGAGGAAAAACAGCTTTAGCTATTGAAAATTATGTGAATCTTACAGCTTGGTGATTCCGCACTATTCCAATCCGCTAAAGGATTAGCATCGACTGTTGGTGGCGCAATCGCTACTGGTTTTGAGAAGGTAATTTTCTCACTTATTTTCACCTTTGTATACTAAATTCGGAAAAAATTCAGTTTTTTTCTCAAGTTTCGGAAAAAATGTAAACAATTTCAGACCAAAGAGACCGCCGGTGATGTCGCCCATGCAATGAAAGAAACCGCTGAAGCGGCTGCAGATAAGACTGCAAGTGCATTGGGGACCGCTAAAGATACCGCCGCAAAGGTATGTAGGACGGTCCCGACGCGATTTTGTCGATTCATTTTACCTGACTTTTAGTCAGAGCTGATATGAAAATATCTTGTTTAAAATTGTAATCGCTCTCAACTGACGTGAGGGTAAATTCGCCAATTTTGAATGTCTACTTCTGAGTTGTTAACAAGACCTTTGTGACGGCTCCTCCTCCTCAACGTAATCAGGGTGCGTGCAGAGTTGCCGGTTTCAACGCCGTGCCAGAACTCTCCGATCTATAAAAGCCATGTATATGGGTTCCAACATGGTGCTGGAACGGCGCTAAAAGGGACGCTCGTCCACACAGCTGTTCGAAACTCCCAAAGCTGCGTCGGAATGACCGTGTGCCGGCGGCGTTCCAGCACTGTGCCGGAGCGGTGCCAGTGCCAGTGCTGTGCCGATGCCGGACTCAAAAAATCAATAGGCATAGTTCTGGTACTTCGCTGAGAGTGCGCTGGCACGGGCAGCAAACTCTGGTGCAGATTGAACCTTACTAGGCCAATCATTCCGATGAAATGGGGATTTATGTCTTTGAGGTTGTCTTTGCATAAATACGTTTTTGTTATTTTTTATGTGGTTTATTCAGCTTTTTTCAGGGAGTCAGTTATGCAGCCGATACTGCTGCGAGCGCCTATGATACCACGGCCCAGAAAGCCGCAGAAGTAGGACGATCTCTTTCTGTTTTACGAATTTAATATCTAGGCAGATATTCATTCAATAATTTCAGAAAATCTTAGATTTTGCGAGAAAGACAGAAAATACGCTTTTTGATCCAGTAATACCTACCATTTAAATGAAAATTTGGTGAAGTTAAATCGAATTTTCATTTCCAGACTGGTCAGTGGGTCGCTGATACCACTAAAGATACACTGAGTGCTGCTGCAGACAAGACTAGAGAGGTAAGATCAACTAACATATGTTTAACACTAGAGCAAAAAAATTTCTATAACTCCCCCGAAAATTTCGGAAAATTTTCCTTTTCAAATATGAAGCATTATGGCTCCTTAATACCCTCTGATTCAATTGGCCTGGCGGTCGGAGGGTGGGTCTTTGTGACCTAATTAAAGCTAATATGATCAGAGAGCACGCCGCGAGAGAGACGCAGACGTCGAGGGTGCGAGCGGTCTTGATTAGGTCACGAAGCCCCGCCTTCCAGCCGTCAAGCAACTTGAATCAAAAGTTATATAGTCTCACACTGAAAATTCTTGTCTTTGATTCCAAATCATTTTTCGATTGTGTTGACAGATTTCCAACCTTCGTTATTACAGGGCTATCACTGGGTTGCCGATACTACCGCAGAGGTTAGTCTAATATCGATTTTATCGATTTTTTGTTAAAATGACACAATGGTTCAAAAGGAAACCTTGTTTTCTTTTTCAGGGTGGTCAATGGGTTGCTGACACTGCTAAAAGCGCCTATGATACCACAGCACAGGTAGCCGCAGATACAATGAGTGCTGCTGCGGATAAGACAAGAGAGGTGAGATACGTTTATACTCACATGGAGTTAGTAGTTGCAATTAATGGTGTGATTGCACAAAATGCACGTCACCGGTCAATTACTTGACTTCGTTGGTCATTTTGTTGAAGAGATATATCTCTTGATGTGCAAAGGATAGAACAGAGGCGGGATAGGAGTGAATTTTTGCGTTCGCCCCAGCGGACTACTGGTCCTCACGCGGTATTTGATAGCTCCTGCGAGAGGATCACTAGTCCGCCAGTCGATCATCACTGAAGAGCTGCCTATCATTTTATAGATTTTCTGAAACGGGAATCTTTCCGCTAATTTTCAAATCCCTTACCCCGTGTTAGGAAATGATAGATGTGACTAATTGATTATTTTAGGGTTATCACTGGGTTGCCGACACTACTGCAGAGGTGGGGCTAATATCGTTATTGATTTTTTGTTAGACTAGTACGGGTAAGACGTAGGGATACTACCAGCCGTTTTCTTTTTTAGGGTGGTAAATGGGTTGCAGACTCTGCCAAAAGCGCCTATGATACTACAGCACAGGTAGCCGCAGATACAATGAGTGCTGCTGCGGATAAGACAAGAGAGGTGAGATACGTTTATACTCACTTGGAGTTAGCATCTACGATTGCGGATGTGCATTTTGTGCGATTGCACAAAATGCCATTCGTAATTATCTGGATTCTTTGTTCGTTCTGCTAAAGAGAGATATTTTACTTTTGATGTGGAAAAGATAAGAACAAAGTGAAAAGCAGGGGAGAAATTCTTGAAATTTTACCTCCAAGCTCCGCCTCCAGGCTGCTGTTCTTTATGCGGTATCTAGCACGTGCTAAAGGACCATACTCCCCGTAGATGGCGCCTTTTGGGAGAATTCATTGTCTACTAAAAAGTACCGAAAAAAATTTATACACCATGCTCTCCAGAAATTTTTAGAATTTTTCATTACGCACAACTTGAATGTCGTGTGCAGCTGCAGATACTGCTTCAGATTAACAGTAAATCCTTGCTAAATGCAGGTTCATTGAACTGTCGTTTGAACCAATCAAACATCACTAAAGAGCACCCTATCATTTTTTATACATTTTTTGAAACGGTAATTTTTTTGTTGATTTTCAAATCTTTTAGCCCGTGTTAGGAAATGATAAATGTGACTAATCGATTATTTTAGGGTTATCACTGGGTTGCCGACACTACTGCAGAGGTGAGACTTATATCGATTTATTGATTTTTTTAGACTAGTACGGGTAAGACTGTAGGGGTAAAACCAGCCGTTTTCTTTTTTAGGGTGGTCAATGGGTTGCTGACACTGCCAAAACCGCCTATGATACTACAGCCCAGAAAGCTGCAGAGGTAAAATATTTAATTCTTCTTTAAAATATATTTAGCAAATTTTGAATGAGACTGAATCAGTGTTTGTGAAAAAATAGTGCGAGTTGAATGTTGATAATATCAAGATCTTAGACAAACAATGGGATCAAAATGCTGTGAACAGTTATAAATACTAAATCTTAATCGTAAATCCATTCACTCTTAAGCTCAAATTTTTTTTCATAAAATTATAGATTTTCAAAGTGATATATTGTAAAAGCCTGTTATTTAGGGTGGCCAGTATCTGGCTGACACTGCCAAAAGTGCCTACGATACCACAACACAGGCAGCCGCAGATACAATGAGTGCTGCTGCGGATAAGACTAGAGAGGTGAGATTTATACTCACTTGGAGCTAGCATCTAGATCAATGGTGCGATTGCACAAAATGCACATTGTTCGTCTAAAACTAGGCTTCGTTATTCGTTTTGCTGAAGAGCCATTTCTCTCTTGATGTAGAATGTAAGAACAGAGTGAAAAGTGGGAGAATAATGAATTTCGTCGTGCTTCGCCTCCACAGACTACTGATCCTTATGTGGGGTTCAATAGCATGTACGAAAGGACCAGTAGTCCGCATAGACGCTTCGCCGGATTTCGTTCATCTGTCAACTAGAAAATGACGTGAAAGATTTACTCTCCATGTTCTACAGAAATTTCTTAGATTTCTTAGCTTACGCACACTTTGAATATTGTGTGTAACTGCGGATATTGCCACGAATTAACAGCAGCTTGTTGCATATCCATAGTTTCGCTTCACTGGTCCAAGTTATTTGAATCAGTCGACCACTAGTGGTTCTTTAGTTATCTTTTTTATTATAGATTCTTTGAAACGGGAATTTTCCGCTGGTTTCCTAATCTTTTACCCCGTGTGCATGATAGATGTGACTGATTGAATACTTTAGGGTTATCACTGGGTTGCCGACACTGCTGCAGAAAAGACAGCAGAGGTAAGAATTTAGAATTTTTTAGGTTTTTTGAAAACTGCATATTACCGAGCGATGGTCTCAACCGTTTTCGTCTTCTTGCCTAGGTTGCATAAAAGCGTCTTTTACCGAGTTGCTGCTGCAAATTCTCGTGGAGAAGGGGGGGGAATCTTGCAGTTTGGTACCGCGTCAATGGTCCGTAATGGGGCACTTTGAGTTCAGAAACTTTTTTGGTGAAAGAAATGAATGCTATACCTTGATCACGAGCCCGATAGACCTGTAGATTTACCATGTTCTCCCCTCCCCCCCCCCTCTCCTACACGAGGCAGTCGATTTTAATTCAAAAAATTTTCATTTGTAGTAAAATAAAACTTATTTTAGGGCGGTCGTTGGGTTGCTGACACTGCCAAGAGCGCTTATGATACCACAGCCCAGAAAGCTGCAGAGGTAAAATATTTAACTCTTTTTTACAAAATATACTCAGCGAATTTTGAATCAATCAAATGCATCAATATTTATGAAAAAAAATGAAGCGAGTGAAATGTTGAAATATCGAGATTTTACCGTGTTCTCTCTCGAGATCCCGGACAAACAATCGGATCAAATCACCTGAGCAGTTATAAATAATCCACCCACTCATAACTTCACATTTTTTATAAAACTATATTTTTAAAGTGATATATTGTATGATAGCCTTTTATTTAGGGTGGTCAGTATTTGGCTGACACTGCCAAAAGTGCCTATGATACCACAGCCCAGAAAGCCGCAGAGGTAAGCCCAAGTTCATTTTTTTCTTCTCGAGATTTTCTATGTCGAAATCTTGTTTCTCTGATTCTGGTTGATATTCGACTTCAAAGTAGACAAAAATTGAAGTTACTATATAACCATTTTCATTTTGAAACAGAAAATTTTCAAACTTCAATTGCGATTTTCAGACTGGACAGTGGGCCGCTGATACTACTAAAGATGCCCTGAGTACAGCTGCAGACAAGACAAAAGAGGTGAATTTTGGCCCTACAACCAAAATTTCCAATTTTTCTCATTTCTCCTACCTGTGGGCTGGTAGATCGGACGTAAATATAGTATTTTAGCTCTACTAACATTTGCCGACAACATTTGCGCGTGAATAAAATGCTACATTTGTAATGCCTGCAAATTGCGCATGCAGAATAGTCGCCAACAGGTTCTTGCAGATTTGTTCACGCTCAAATGTTGTCGATAAGTGTCGGCACAGGACACAACACTTACTTGACGCCAGATCTACTAGTCTACGCCACATTTTCAGAGCACCATGCGTAACTTGTAGACGAAGTCTAAATAACTGTTTTGAAACAGGAATTTTTGAGTTTTTTATTTCTCTGTTTTAATTTTATGAGACTCGAAAAGTTGATAATAGAATAAAAATGTTGAAAACAATTCTTTGGTGAACGATTGTATGTTTTAGGGTTACCACTGGGTTGCCGATACTGCCGCAGAGAAAACCGCTGAGGTAAGGAATTATTTTGGTTAAAATGTCATTATTCTGGAACGGGGAGGGTAAAATAGCTAAAAAAATCAAACACTTGAAAAAATTCTGCTTTTTTCATCTGATGTTTTGTAAAGTTAATAATTATACAAGTGATTCAATATTTTATTGCGAAACTAAATTTTCTTCATTTTAGGGTGGCCGTTGGGTTGCCGACACAGCCAAGAGTGCCTACGATACCACTGCAGAGAAGGCTTCAGAGGTAAAAACGAGTCTCTTTTTTTCTTTTTAAATTTTTCACGTCGAAATAGGTAATTTTGATTTTCGATTTTTTATTAGAATGCGATCAAATTGAAGTTGTAATAAAACTATTACTTCCTTAAAAATTTGAAAAAATTCAGTTGTTTTATAAAATTACAGTTTTCATAGGGATTTATTGTATACTATCCTGTTATTTAGGGTGGTCAGTATCTGGCTGACACTGCTAAAAGTGCTTACGATACCACAGCACAGAAGGCTGCAGAGGTATGTGCAAGTCTATTTTTTTCTTTCTGAAATATTCTATGTTGTAGTTGAAGTTATAACATCTATTTTTACACTGAAACATGAAATCTGTGAAGTCAATCGCGATTTTCAGACTGGTCATTGGGCCGCTGATACCACTAAAGATGCACTGAATACGGCTGCAGACAAAACCAAAGAGGTAAATCATTTTTTCTTCTTCATCTTTCCTATAGAACAATCGTAGGCTTTGGCCATACTTTACCCATGTTACCCGTATTATCGGTGTTACTAGTGTTTCGTGTTACTCGTGTTACCCGTGTTACCAGTGTTACTCGTGTTACCCGTGTTACCAAAGTTACTCGTGTTACTAGTGTTACTCGTGTTACTCACCAATCAGTGAAATTGCGTTCTAAAATGAGACTGTATTGTGATCATTTCACTATTCAGCAGCAATAAAAACGGTAACACGGGTAACACTAGTGACACTGGTACCACCGGTAGCACAGGTAACATGGGTGAAGTATGGGCAAAGCCGTAGAGAAAGTACAAGTAAATGGTTTGAAACAGGATTTTTTGAGTTCTCGACTGAAGAATTTGATAATGTTAAATTGTCAAAAATAAACATCTTGTAATCGATTATATGTTTAGGGTTACCACTGGGTTGCCGATACTGCCGCAGAGAAAACCGCTGAGGTAAGAAATTGTTTTGGTGGAAAATCTTTTTGTTGGAGTTTGGTTTGAGCGGGTAAAAATTTGCTTCAAACTTACGATTTTGCTTTCCAAACTGGATAGTTTTTTTTCGTTGATATTTTGAATAAACCGAATTTTGAATACACCTTTTATAAATTTAGAAATTTATTTCGCAAAAAAAAAAGAATTTCCTGTTTCAGGGTGGTCGTTGGGTTGCTGACACAGCCAAGAGTGCCTACGATACCACGGCGCAGAAAGCCTCAGATGTAAGCTGGGTACCGTATTTTTTTGTTACAAAGTTGAAATTTTTGGGCAATTTAAAAGCTTACGGCTTTTTCTTCCTCAGCCAAATTCAGTAATAGCGAAAAAACAAAAAACGACGAAACAAGAATATATGTCTCTTCCAGGTTGCTGACAGTGCTAAAGATACATTGAGTACCGCTGCTGATAAAACAAAAGAGGCAGCTAAAAGTGCCTATGATACCACGGCACAGAAAGCGGCAGAGGTAAATTTATTCCTGTACATTTTTTTCAAGCCAAAACTCCTTTGTAAGAATAGGAAATGCTTCAAATTTGGTTAGGACAAAAAATTGATTGATAAAAATTTAAAATTAATTAATTTAAAATTTACCTATGTACCTTCAAAAAAAAAACACACGCACACAATCAATCTCTTTCAGACTGGTCATTGGGCCGCTGATACCACTAAAGATGCACTGAATACGGCTGCAGATAAGACCAAAGAGGTAAGGTAGTGTAACATGAGGGGGGAGGGGGGGAGAGCTTTGATATCAGTAACGCAGCGTTGCCTAAAAAATTTGCCTCTGTTTGCTTCTAGCGTACTTCGTCGAGAGCTGACTTTATCACACTGCTAGCTATTACCATTTGGTCATTTCTAAATTTTAGAGCATATGTCCTCGAAAAAAAATTAAGGGAAAAATTGCCTTAAATATCTATTTTAGGCTGCTAGCGCCGCTGCTGACACTGCTAAGGACGCTTACAATGTTGCTGCAGACAAGACCAAAGAGGTGAAATTGCATTATAGTATTAGGTTTTCCCAAAACTAAATTTCATTTTGAAATAAATTGAGCTGTTTTTGTTTTCCTAACAGATTTTGAGTGCCATTTGATAGAGCGGAGCAAGTTCTACAAAAGAAGTCACCAAAGATCCACCTAAGTCGTAACCCAGGTAAAATCTGGAGCCAAAAATAAAATTTTTCAGCTACTTCAAAAATCGGATATCCTTCCAGAAAATTCCTACGGACTTCCAATTTTGTCTTTATACAGTAACACAGACTAGTACTCAAAAATGTATTTGATGGATTTTTTTCGGAGCTCAAAATTGAGAAACAAAGGTGACCCATGCCAAAATGCCACTTTTTGCGGGTTTTTCATGTGAAACTTGGTATTCTTGATTATAAGGGTACATATAGGCGTAAAGTTTTCAGATTATACTTATTAAGGCTTGTAGCATGCAATGACATGTGATAGGGGAGGAGGGGCGGAGTTTGCCATTTTTGGACCACTTTTTTTTCCGCTCTCTATGCGCGGAAGAAATCCAGCAAAGGCGTATTGAGTACTACTATGTGCCTACTGTATAATGACAAGCTTGAAGTCCATACGATTTATTCTCCCTAAATTCAATTCTCATGTGTTAATTTTTTTTTCGATTTTGGCTTCAAGCTTTACATGGGCGGATCCTTGATGGTCATTTTGTGGGGCTTGATTTGCTCTATCAAATGAAACCCTAAGTCTATACTAGGAAAGCGGGCTTGAATTATCTAAAAATGGAGTTTACTTTTGGGACAACTCAATATTCCCAAAATTTTAGGCTGCTAACGTCACTGCTGATGCTGCTAAGAGTGCTCTCAATACTGCTGCAGACAAGACCAAAGAGGTGAAATTAAATTAACAATAATCTTATACGGCATCAGGATATATTTCTAAAACGACATCCAGTTCCAGACCCACCAAATTATTGTGTCAAAGAATCGTATCTTGGAATTACTAAGCTCTAATCCAAATCATAGTAACCTTTTTGATTGTAAAAGCAAAACATTCAAATTTTTTATAGTATTTTTGTAGATAGAACTGTTAAATTACATCCAGTATTTTGGTCTACAGAATTTTTGAGTTCGAATATTGTTGAGATATAAAACATTTGATTTAAATAGTTTGCATTTCAGGGTTATCACTGGGTTGCCGACACTACTGCAGAGGTAAGATTACTTTTTAGTCATAGTTGTATGATAGGCTTTTAGGTTTATATAGTTTGACATATGTATGAGATAGTTGAATTTTTTGATTAGGGTGAAAATGTCTATTTCAGGGCGGTAAATGGGTTGCCGATTCTGCCAAGAGCGCCTATGACACAGCTTCACAGAAAGCCGCTGAGGTAAAGAATGATTTTTTCTCAAAAATTGAGAGAAATTTTTGGAAAATTTCACGCATTTATAGGGTGCCCATGTGGCAGCTGACACTGCAAAGGATGCTTACAATGTTGCTGCAGACAAGACCAAAGAGGTGAAATTGCATTATATTAGCAGTAATCATGTAAGGTATAATATATTTCTAAAATTCTAGGCTGCTAACGTCACTGCTGACGCTGCTAAGAGTGCTCTCAATACTGCTGCAGACAAGACAAAAGAGGTAAGACAGTGCTTTGTTTGTGGTAATGTTTAGCATTGAATTAATAAATTAGTTAAATCATCAAAGTATGCTTAAAATCTTTCTAAAGCGTATCATTTTGCCGAAAAAAAATCAGCATTTTCCAGTTAAACGGAGGTTGTAAGCTTAGAATTATTTTGGCTTAATCTGCACACATGAAATGAACTACTCTGTGAGGTTGAAGGCAAAATTGAAGGTTATTCTATTTTTTTTCCACTACTTAATAAGTTGTGATACGATTTGGATATAAGTTAAAAATAAACGAATTTTAGGGCTACCACTGGGTCGCCGACACTACCGCGGAGGTAGGTATAATTTTTGTTGAATAGTACCGCATGTTTAAAATTCTGAACTTATCATTTAATAGTAATTTACAGTAGTTTATTTATTTTATATTTTAGGGTGGTAAATGGGTCGCTGATTCTGCTAAGAGCGCCTACGACACAGCCTCACAGAAAGCTGCTGAGGTAAGTAACTTTTTTTCAATTCTGAAAGTGCGCATCACTTGAACTTTCTCGCAAATTCTCCTACAAATGTGATATTTTGATGATCAGAGCAGTGTATATAGAAATTTGTGGTATTACCATAAAGTTCTTAGTTAAAAGTTGAATGTACGTGCAAAATGGAAATCTCTTATAGGGTGCTAGCGTGGCAGCTGACACTGCAAAGAGTGCCCTAAACACTGCTGCAGACAAAACCAAGGAGGTAAGGTTTCATTCTTTTTGTTTACTCAAAATCACGTTCAAAAATCACTCAAATTTATGCTCTTACTCAACTTGGCTTTATAATTCCATATTTAAGCTTCAAAATAACCGCATCTTGTAAAAATACTGGAGCGTTATCTTGTTAGTTTTGTCTCTATAATTGTTCATAAGTATGGTTGAGAATATTGAAGAAAAAAAACCAAAATATTTCTTTCTTTAGGGCTACCACTGGGTTGCCGACACTACCGCTGAGGTAAGGTTTAGCTCCAAAATTTTGTTTTTATTTTACTTATCATCTCCAGTCAAGTAGGAAGTTGAACTCATTTATTACCTTCCAATGGGAATTCCTGAATTCCCATTGGAAGGTAATAAATGAGTTCAACTAATAAAGGTAATAAATGACTAAGGTAATAAATGAGTCAATTCCAGGGTGGCCACTGGGTTGCTGATACTGCCAAGAGCGCCTACGATACAGCTTCACAGAAAGTTGCTGAGGTAAAATAGACTTAGAAGGCAATTTTCAAAGTTTCGTGTGAGCTCAAAATCATCACAATCCTTTTTTTGCTGTGAGAAAATCATTAAACAAATATTAAAAATAGAATTAGTAACATGAGATGTTAATAAAGTTTATCTTTCACGACGACAGACTAAAAGTTTGGAGAAAAGGAGTCATATGTTTTAGGGTGCTAACGTGGTAGCTGACACTGCCAAGGGTGCTCTTAACACTGCTGCAGACAAGACCAAAGAGGTAAGACTACAATTTGTCTATAATATGATGTAAAAGACGTTTGGAAGAAACGACCATTTATGCTCTCAGCTTCTTAGCCCTTTTAAAGTGCATAATTTTGTCAAAAATCTAGCATTCTGTTTAGGTCAAATTGAAATTGTATGCTGTAGGAGTCAAGTTTCTCCTTGTATTTCGCATCCATGTAATTTTGATAATTTTTGATGTTAGAGGCAGAATGAATAATTAGCTAAGTAGGTCGTTCTGTTAGTCCTATCCTCATACAGATTACAAGTTATGATTGGCTAGAATATGAAACATATATTATCTGTTTAGGGCTACCACTGGGTTGCCGATACTACCGCAGAGGTAAGTATCATCCATTTCTCGTTTAAATTCTGCTTCTCACTACGTTGAATTCAGATTTTTTCATTCATTAGGCAGCTGAAGAAGAATTGCGTTACACTGACCTTTCCGAATCGTAAAAAATGTTGATTTCAGGGTGGTCACTGGGTTGCTGATACCGCAAAAGATACCTACAACACTGCTGCCCAGAAAACTGCAGAGGTACATTTAGTTCATAAAGTTTTTTTTCTCATTGCAGATTTGGTTTTGTTTCCATAGTTGATAACATTGATTGTTGCATTTCCAGGGAGCCGACTGGGTTACTGGCACTGCCAAGAATGTTTATGGGACCACAGCTGAGAAGGCTTCCGAAGTGAGTTTTGCGTTATTTTTATTAGTGTGAAAATATTACCAAAGAGTACCGTATGTCTTTTTTTCTGCGTAGATAACTGGTAAATAAGTGCAAGAACCTAGATAGTTAATTTCATCGGATTTGAATAGAAGTGCGCTTGATAAACTTGATCGATTCTCAGGATTATACGGTAGTAAAAAATGAAATATTAATTGAAGGACGCGAAATGGGTTTCTGACAACATCAAGGAGAGTTACAGATCCCTAACAGAGGTTTCTTACCACTCTTTTCTTGTCCTAGTTGAGTAGAAACCATCATTCTTTTTGCGCAAAATCGAACTTTGAGGGTGTTCAAAATGTCCCAGGAAAAGCTGGAAGGGGCTACGAGGAAATGTCCAAGGTGATCTGCTAGTCATAAGGTGCATAAACTTCATGAGTACCGAAATTTTTTTTCCTAAGGGCGCTCAACTTGAATCCAGTGGCAATCGGGGTACCTCCGACGTTGAGAACGAAGAATTGGCTAGTTTTTCGAATTTCAAGGGAGGGGGGCTTGAGTGAGAAGAGAAATTCTAATGTAATTGTTTAAGAAAGGCGATTGGATAGCGGAGAACGTTCTGGGGCTGGTCGGTGATAGCAAATACTCCTCAGTTAAGGTTGATTACTTTAGTTTCTAGCTAATGCCTGGTTTAATTTGTTTTCTCGACAGACTGCTAGGCGAAGCCCAGAAAAAGCCGGGGAAGCTTACGAAAGATTATCAAAGGTGCTTTTTTGATTACCGTAGTGGTACCGTAGCTGTTACTGTAATAGTATGTAGCTAAGAAAGCGGCAAAGATAAATCCTTGGTTCTAAGGGCGCTCAACAAACTGCGGACAGCGTTAAGGATGCGTTCAAGGAAGGGCATGAGGAACTGGCTAGTTTTTTTAATTGCCCCTAGGGGAGAACAAAAATGAGCAAGTGACCTATCAAGCTTCTTAAGAAAGGCGACTGGATGGCAGAAAACGTTCTGGGGTTGGTCAGCGATACCAAGGATTCCACATCTAAGGTTAAGGATGACTAGAATATGTGTAGTTCTACTTAGAAATAGCTGGTTTGAAGCTGTTTGAAATTTCTAACACTAGAAAATAAGCGTTACCCTGTACAGCTTTATGTGCCACATAATAAATAATATTTTAATGATTTGATGTAAGTTCATGATGCACTGTAACATGTGTAGCTAACTCTATCTCAAATTTTTAATATCTGAAAATAACCCCTGGCTTATTTTTATAGGGAGCCGGTCTTGTAGCAGACACTGCCAAAGGCGCCTATGATAGTACTTATGGAAAATTATCAGAGGTAACTACTATCTTTGAAATTTTCTTGGTACTGGGAACTTCTTTCGGTAACTGGGCCAGGGGATGAAATTACCACTTTCGAGGGGAAAAAATTTTTTTGGACTCAAACCTCAGGGCTTTTTTATGCTTGATCATAAATTACAACAGGCCTACACATTTTCTATTGATTATAAAGTCAACAATCATCGTCTGTCTGGACTCAAGCTTTGCGCAAAAATTAGTACAAAATTCGGTTTTCCTCAAAAGATTGATGTAAATTCCTATTTTCATGGGCCCTACATCATGCAGAACTCAGTCATTAAAAAAATGGCTCGTTTTTAGCATTTCAAATTTTCCTTTAACGGTGTTTTTTTGTAGAATAATACATTACTTATGTGGAAAACATGGACACTAGCAGATCTCACGTCACATCTCCAGTTCCATTTCCTCATCCTTTCATGGTGATCGGCATAAATGAACCCATTTCAGGGAGCCACTTGGGTAACAGACACAACTAAAGATACCGCTCATGCTACCAAGGACAAAGCATCAGATGTAGGATTTTTGCCTAATTTTTACGTTTGGTAACCTGTAAAGTTACCACTTCCAGATCGCTGATACCGCTGGCGCAGCCCTTCTTGGCGGAGCTACTTACGTAGCCGACAAGGCAGCAGATCTGAAGGATAGCGCCAAGGAGGTTGGTGCTTTCCGTCTGAAACACAACATAAGAAAATTTGAACCCGTTCAGCCCTAAGGTCATTAATCACTGTATTTAGGTTGCTTCTGATGCATTTGGAATGGTTAAAGGTGCATTGGGCAAAGTCGGAGATAAAGCTCATGATGTGAAAGAAGGAGCCAAGGAAACTGCTGAGAAAGCAGCAGACAAAGTACTAGAAATGAAGGATAGTGCAGCCGAGGTATGTTATAAACATTATCAGTAAGCGTTCGAAATGTCTCGAAATTATGGGGGCGGGGGTACGAGACTTGTATCTTGTCCACGCCTTCTGCCACACCCACTTTTGCACTTTCATTCTTTTGCTGGTTATGCAGCGAAAGATAAACGCAGTGGTCAATGTAGACATGATTGAACAGCTTTTGATGGGGCGGGGGAGGGGGAGGAGGTTAAATGCGTTCTGTCTCCGCCCATCGCCCCGCCCATTTTTGGAACATTTCGAATTCTTGGTTTTGCACGCATCTAGAGACAAGCGCAAGTAGCCAATTAGACATCTTATCTTGGTGTCGAAAAGAGTTGGAGGGGGGGGGGTGATTGGTACCCCTCTTGCCACGCCCATTTCCAGGAAATTTTCTTGTGGTAGCGGACTAATAAATTGCAAGTAACCTATGATTTATCCTGTCCTGCCCTTGCGAAAGTTCGAGGGCGGAGGGGGGGGGGGGAGGGTGATAGCGAGAGTCAGTCGCACCTGGCACCGCCCCTTGCCAAGCCCATTTTGGATTTCTTATTTTTTGTACCAGACTGACAGACCATGAATGACTACTGAATTTATGATTTTGCTCTCAGGCCGCCAAGGATGCCAAAGACAAATCAAAAGACAAGGCTTCCGAGTGGAAAGATGATGTCACTAAGACGATGTCCGGTTTCAAGGACGAAGCGCAAAAAGTGGGTTTTTGCAGAGAAAAAGTTGAAATTTCTTATTTACTGTGTTTAGACTGCTGAAAGTGCGAAGGACAACGCTCGGGACAAAGCCCATGAATGGGAGACCAAGGCCGGAGTGGTGAGTTTCAGGCGCAATTTTTGAAAATAGAATTTTATATATCATTTTTGGTGCAGTACTAGGTACTGCAATCTTTGCCAAAATAAGCGCATCTGTGCTCAATTCTGCTTGTTCAATTAATTGCTCAATTTACCTAAGTCCGAAATAAAACAAGGGGGTTATCCCAAGCTACTTATGTGTTTAGGCCACTGAAAGTGAGAAGGATAACGCTCGAGACAAAGCTCATGAATGGGAGGCTAAGGCCGGAGTGGTGCGTTTTATAGGGCATTTTTTTATAAAACAAAATTTCATGCAGCAAGCATACTTACCACTGAAGTTGTAGTTTTTTTGGGCACAGTACCAGGTACTACAATTTTTTGCCAAAGTAGAAGCTATGATCATTTTACTCGCTTTAATTACTAAAAAAGACCCAATGTCGGGATGAAATACTGGAATTTTTCTCAAGCTTGTATTTGTGTACAGGGCTACCGTAACCTGCTGGGATACGGTAGATGCATGGTGTGGGCATCCCATCGCTTTTTTATGAAAGTGCTGAATGCAAAATAGTCCATTCTTAGATTAGAAATGCAAAGAAAACACCATGCTCTTTGAATTTTTTGTTGTAGTGTGCTACTATCCGTCATCCGGTAGGTGTACGGTAGAAAATTAAATGTATGATGTGCCACTGCCCCTTTGAATTTCCTTTTCGAATGTACCGCTTTTTATTGGAGAGATAATTTCACCCTATTAGAGAGGAATCTCAGCTATACATTGGAGTACGGTAGATATATGGTAAGAGGACAGCTAGCTTGAATATGAGATTCTTTGCGGCGCGCATCACAGGGTCACATAAGCATATTAATTATGTTCATGCCCATCCTATACCATATATCTACCGTAACCCAGATATTACGGTAGCAGTGCAGTGTGTCAAAAAACATTCGGCTTACTTAAGAGTCCAGTCCCTAATAGCTTGTCAACTCTGGAGGATTTTGTGACCTGGCACGAAATTATAGGATTTGCTTTTTTTCAAAGGAGGTAGTACTGTAGCAGTACTGTAATCGTTACCATTTTGATTTGTCAGTTCCAAAATTTTCAGGCCACCGACGACCTCAAAAACTCAGCAAAGTCCTATTTTGATGCTGCAAACAAGGGAACAGTTGATGACAAAGAAGAACGTGTTGTAAAGGTGGTCACAGGCGGGACCACTCAAAGCAAGCCTATTAGTACAACGAGCACCGGCACCACCGCGACCTTCGGCTCCACCGGAACCACCGGGACCACCGGCACCACCGGAACCACCGGAACCACCGGAACCACCGGAACCACCGGAACCACCTGGACCACCGACACCACCGGCACCGCCGGTATCCCCGGTACCACCGGGACCGCCGATACCGTTTGGCCAGGCACTACCGTCCACCATACCGGAGACAACGTAAAGGATTCGACGGTCAGCAAGTTGTCCGAATGGACCACTGAAGCTGAGAGGAAAGCTGAAGAAGCAAAGAAGACAACCTCCGATCTGTTAGGCAGTGCTCAGCACAAGGCAGGTGAAGCCAAGGACAAAACTGCCGACACCTGGGCCAACGTCAAGGATGAGGCTGGAAAGAAGGCGGAAGCCGCGAAAGATACCGCTGGTGACTGGATGAGCAGTGCCGCAGATAAGGCAGCTGAGGCTAAGGACAAAGCAGCTGACAAGCTCTCAGAAGTGAAAACTGAAGCGGAAAAGAAGGCCGAGGCTGCTAAGGAAACTGCTTCGGACTGGATGGAGACAGCCAAGGACAAGGCAGCCGAGGCCAAGGATAAGACGGCTGAGACCCTGTCTAGTGCAAAGGATGAGGCTGGGAAGAAAGCCGAAGCAGCTAAGGACACAGCTTCCGATATTCTTCATAGCGCCAAGGAAACAGCTGTGGAAATGAAGGATAAGGCTGCTGAGAAGCTGTCGGATGTGAAGCATACAGTAGAAAAGAAAGCTGAGGCAGCGAAGGATACCGCCTCTGATTTGCTCCACGCCGCTAAGGAAACCGCCGTCGAGATGAAGGACAAGGCTGCTGATAAGCTTTCGGACCTAAAACATGGAGCTGAGAAGAAGGCCGAAGCAGCCAAGGAGACTGCTTCCGATGTGCTACACAGCGCTAAGGAAAAAGCCGCTGAAGTCAAGGATCAAGCCGCTGAGAAGGCGTCGGAATTGAAAACCGAGGCCGAGAAGAAAGCCGAAGCCGCAAAGGAAAAAGCCGCCGAAGTCAAGGACCAAGCTGCTGAGAAGTATTCAGAATGGAGATCTGAAGCTGAGAAGAAAGCCGATGCTGCGAAAGACAAAGCAGCTGAAGCAAAGGATCAGGCTGCCGGTAAACTCACTGGCTTGAAAACGGAAGCGAAATCTCAAGCAGCGACCGCTGTTAATGTACTGGATGATACTGCTCCTCCTTCAGCAGAATGGACAGAGTATGGCAGAGGGGTTCGTTGCTTGCTTTATCAAAGAAATAAGTGCTTAATATCAAATTTGGTTTTTTTAGGTAGAAGGTGGTGCGCCGGGTACAATCGAAGTCACAACTTATGAAGTGAAGGCCATTCCGAAAGAGGTAAGGATTTGAATACTAGAAATGCGGGACTTTCGCATGGCTTCCGCAAAGTCTCCTAAGGGTGCGGAACTTTTGCAGCTGTTGTGGGGGAGTTTCGGAAGGAAATGCTACGGAAATGAGCTTAGGGCTGTTCCGGTGGTAGGAGCTCAAATAAAAGATCAAAAGTTCCGAGAGGCTCTCAGAAAAAGTTCCATGAGGCTGCGGAACCTTTGCATTTGCTCAGCAGAACTTCCAAAATGAAAATCGTAGCTTATAAAAACTAAGCTGTTCCAATAGAGGCTCTTACGTAAACTAAAAAGCGAATCCTCATCAGGACTTCCGCTAATTCCGTCAGGATGCGAAACCTTTGCCTTTGTTGTGCGGAAGTTCCGAAATGACATGCTGCGATTGTTACAATGCCATAAGGTTAATTTTGGTTTTAGAGCGGAACTTTCGCAGGACTTTTAGAGAGGCTTCGTTTTGGAAAAAAAACTTTCGCGTTTGTTATGCCGAAGTTCGGAAATGACATGCTGCGGAATTTTGAGGTTAATAGCTGTTCCGGCGGCGTCTGCAGGATGTATGCGGAACTTGCGTAAAGATGTCGCGGAACTTGCGCGGAGGCGCTGCGGAACTTCTGCATCCATTCTGCGACAGTTTCGTTTTGAAATTTGTTGCGAAAACCTGTGGCTCATTCAAAATATTTATGCTCACACTTTACAGAACATGAGGTGGAAAAATATTTTGCTTTTTTTGCAAACCCCAATGTCGCTTTTCTTCCAGGGCTCCGCTGCTGATGCCAAGATGGCGTTCTTCACTGATACTCACAAGGGAACGACGTCATCAGATACCAAGGTATGGTAGCTTTTACCCTAACTTTGCAGTTTTCACCCTATCTCTTCTCAATTTTTTTCCTCGCATTTTCTAACATTTTGAAGACAACATGGTCATCAGCCGGTAGCACTAAGGGTTCTACAACCGGTAACACTAAGAGTTCTACATTTGTCGAGCATTTGGGTTCAAAGGGAAAGAAAGTTAGTTTACTTGAAGAATTAGTAGAAATTAGTAAAGTTCAGTCCTGCACGAAGGCAGATGCTAAATTCTGCGCGAGGCTGGTGCGTGCGCGGCGGCCAAGCACCTCTCTCTGATGGAGCGCGTGAACTGCAGTCGCACAGTATCCGCTGCCTACCGCGGTCGGGCGCGCGCGTGTCATATGCGGTCATCAGCCTTCGTCCGGGATTACACTGTATACGTCGTGCATTTTTTGCGAGAAATCGAAAAAAATCGTGTGCGTACGTAGTGATATGCTAGTAGTTGACCTAACAAAGCATATTAGCACACATTGTGGTGATTTCCTTTAAAAAATATTATAGAAGGAATGAACGTGTCGAATATAATTTGCGACTTGGATTTTACCACGGTGATATGAAGAATCTTTTTATTTTCATTTTTTACTAGCCGTTTTGTACATACCGTTAATTTCTTCCTCAAGATTAGTATTGTATAGAAATTAGCCTTAGTATTGCATGGAATTCCACATTGCGTTACAAATTACACTCACCTACCAAGGAATTTCTTTTTCTATCACAGTCTTAAAAATCTATTCCACAGTAGCAGCACAGTACAGTAATCCCACCGTAATAAGTTTTAATTTCTATCGGTAGGTCATCTCTCAGTTCAAAGTTAGTAATAACATTTATTGTTTCTACGAACATGTTAATAAAACATGAAAAGAGCTTGTGTTTGAACAAAAAGCTAAGTGCCTTACGACTCATAGGCAGTGTCCGACCGTATTTGGATTTTGTTTGTACGGACTGATTTGGAGGCCTCTAACCTTCTGCTCAAGCTTTGGCTCACAGGAGTCGTTCTTGGCAGAGCACTTTGGCTTTTCTTGCCCAGCACCGTAGCGCTGCTGGTCTGCTTCTGAAGAGTACGGTACTGGGCGAGACTTTAGAGTCAAATCTCTCGGCCCCGAATGAATCATAGAAGTTCTAACCTTGGGTAATAGTTTAGTTAGAGCCTACCAGTCAGTATCTACATAATAAGTCCAACTACTGGGGTCACTTTGGGCACTGCTTTATGATAGCTAGCAGAAATAATACAGAAATTGAATGAGGTGAGTAGCACAGCTCTAGTGTTATGCGTGTTCCAGTAGTCTAATACACTGTTTGTAATGGTGTAAACGAACTCTTCCGGACCACTCTAAAATTTTCAGACTGGTGATACAAGTTCCAAATCGCCCAAAGCTGCGGAACCGTTTGACAGCAAGGTATGTCATTCTTGTTCACATTCCTGAATTACTTTGAGACCATAGCTCCGGCCCAAGCGGCAGCTCATTTGATTTATTTGTGACGGAGAAACGTCTGCTGTAAAATACAGGCCAAAGCGTAACATTTCTGACCAATCAGCGTCATGGAATACGGTAGTTACGGTGTGGGCTAAATTATATAGATAATAAAATTTCTCAGAGCTAATAAATCATTGGGGCTGCTGTTTGGACAATAGTTTGGCTAAGTCTTCCCATCAGGTTTCCCTGAAAATCCCAGGTATTTAAATTTGCCTCTACAATCAAAAAACTACATTAGCATAAACAGTGGCTTTCCTTATATGTGTGTGTGTATGTGTTGTTGATGTGATCTACTAATCAATGCTTATCGCATTCGTAATCTTGGAAATGGTGATTTTGGAACATAAAGCCGTCCCTTTCGACTAAACTGAGCAAATAAGATTGTCGCATTGGCCAATCACGAACCGCCGGTTATGGTACTTTTGCGCGCGAAACGTGTAGCGATAGGCAGCAGTGTTTTGACTGCAGTCCTTACCGTATTCCCTTTGTAAGGTAGTCGAAAGATTCATGTCTCGTCTACCTTCACACTTTTCAGTTATAATTACCTTCTCCGTACTATAAGAGGGGGGGGGGGGTCAAAACGCATGTCCGTGTTCGTTTTCTTCATAGTAACGATATGTTTCCATCTCCAAGCACTTGCACCGTCGACCAATAGCCCCTCAATATGAATTTTAGAGAGATCACCAACTTTGTTTCTCATCATCTACTCCAAAACTCACTCCCCTGTGTTCGTGCACTGTTTGTTTTATGAATTCTCTGTATGTTGTGTGTTATCTAGAAAAGAGAACGAACGGAAAGCTTGAGCGAAACCGTCAAAGCTATGGCTCAATCGGCCAAGGAATCACTCAACGTTGCGGTTGAACAGGCCTCCGAAGCTGTAAGTGTTGTGTTTGTATTGTGAATGTTATGAATGTTCTGCACATCCCCAGCTACATAACTGAACATTTTTAAGCATTTTTCCCGTTTTTTGTCGGAATATGCGAAGGATAATCGGAAAACCTTGTAATTGTAATCGTTGTATGTAGTAGTCTACGTTTTAGTGCATGGAGTGGTTTCCTCCCTATATCTGTTAAAGAAATAGACTGCATAAAAGAAAGCAAGTGTGCTAAAAAGGAAAATGAATAAAGGCCGATCTACTTAGGCACCCAGTTCCTAGAAAAGGGCAAAAAAAATTGAAGACAGAAGATATAACCGAGTAGATCTGATGCTTATAATAGTGTTTCTGCGGAGCCGACAACATTTGCGCGTCAAGAGCAGTGTACGCTCTTTGGCATTCTTTATGTGCAAGTCACAAGCAAGCTATTAGCATTCTGAACCTGACCTTTATTTTCGCGCAATGTTGTTGTTACCGCAGTTACACTACATTGACGTTTAATAACGTGTAATCAATTATAGTACAGGCATAACAGTGTCCTTCTGGCCAAATTTTTGTGTGGTTGCACAAATTTTTGAATTGGTCTTGAAACTCTTTGCGATTTTCGCCAGCATCCGAATATACCGCCAAAACACAAGTTAACACTATTCTGATGTGCTGTCTGTCTTTTTCGTACGGAAAGATTTTGCAAACGGATCCCAAAATTTCCATTGAAGCTTAATTACCCAGCTTCCAAGTGACTACTAGATACTGCACAGCCTATCAAATCTCAAGTTCATAAATAGCCCTTATGGCAGTTTTTGATCTACCGCGAAGTCAGCAATCTGAAAGATAGTTATGATTTTGTGAAAATTTCAGTGAGCACAAGGACTTCATATATAAAATCTTGTAAATGATTAGTTTCTATAGAAATTATGGCTAAGTTCTTCCAGATAAGCTCCGCACAAGAAAGCGCTACAAAAGCTTACGAACAAGCCAAGGATAAAACTGCAGAGCTTTCCGCTGCTGCTTCACAAAAAGCACAAAAAATCGAGGTGAGGAGTATGAATTTTGGAAAATAAACATCTGAAAAATTTTCTTCTTTCTGTCGCATCCCTCTTCTCGCACTCTTCCCATCTTCTCAATGTCAGCAGTAGTCCATTTCATAGTTGATGTGTGTGCTAAAATTTAGAAAGCGGCCGAAGAGATAGCATCAGCCGCATATTCGGATGCGAAAAATGCTGTTTCGGATGCTTCACAAGCTGTTCAAGAAAAAATTGAAGAAGTGAAGCAAGCCGTTTCTACGGACAACGAACAGGCAACGGTAAATCACTGCTAACTCTATATGTCTATTAACTCCAACCTATCCTGAGCTATTGTGGCCTTTATGCTTCTATCTAGCTAAGTCAGTGCTTCATTTTGCTTTGCGCTTGCTTGTGTATCTACAGTAAACATACAGTATTCCTATATCGTATGGGCATCTAATACTGTTAAAAAGAAAGAAAAATTCCATAGTCACTTTTAGAAAACGACAGATAATTTTTGAAGTTAATTCATAATTGTCTAACGCCCTAATCTCTCCCCCTCCCTTTCTTCTTCCCTATCGGTCATTTTGCTTGTAGTGACCATTCATGCAAAATTTCAGTGAAACTTTTTCGAACTAAGCGCGTGAGAAATATCTTTCACAATCAGCTGGCATGGTGCCACATAAGTGCCACCTGGGTGTCACCTCGGTGCCAGCTGCGTGCCATTGCGGTCCATCATGCCAGCTGGATGCCATTTATGAGCTCTAGTCTGTTAGTAATAATCAATACAATGACTATTTTGAATCAGCTCATCAAATTTTAAAAAACCATTATTATTACAGTTTATCCCTTACTTACTACAGAGCAATTTTGAAAAAAAACCCTTTTGCACTGTCAGAGGCTTAAAAAACCCATAATTTGTTCCCTCTTCGAAAATCGGCTCCAATTCCTTGATTTTTCTGATAATCCAAAAATTGTAGTCTTGCTTAAAAGAAGGAAACTGAGAAATTCCTGAATATTTCTTTCACATTTTGAAGCTAATGCAAGTCAAATTCAAGTTTTAGACGCCAAGTATAAACAAGTAACAAACATGCAAGCAATAGCTTCTGTCATATTTAGCCACGCTTAATTCTTCTGCAATTGCACAACTCTCCAAACTATCGTCTTTCACTGCAACACCAAACGCATTTTTCTTTTCACTTGCTTTCTACTCACTAATACTATGTGTTTTGATTTTCTAATGTTCGTACCTCACAGCCGATTGCCGAAGGAATTGCAAAAGCCGCCACTGATGAAGCCGTAGCTGAAGCAGCCAAGGAGGTTGTTATCGTTGCCATTGTCATTGTGTTGTGTGGCATGCTTTTAATGCTTGTATTGCATGGCTTCTAGAAATCTGACTCTTCTTCGTCCCCCCCCCCCCTTCCCCCTAATTAGGTTTAAGAGCGTGGCAACTTTTTCACTAATTCGCTGGCACGATTTGGTGCCAGGGTGCCACCTGGGTGCCAATTAGGTGCCGTTTGGGTGCCAGCTGGGTGCCAACTGTTCGTTCTAGTTTTGTCACATGGGATAGATTCACAATCGTATCGGGGAGCTGAATGTTATCATTGAGCCTTTTTGTCTCTGAACTCGATCAAACTCCTTTTTTTGCAGTGCTCTTTTTTACCGCGCGAAGCAATCAAAGGTGAACCCTCGAGTACCCAACATGACAAAGAAGGACGTTTGAAAAGCCTGCGGAATTTTTTCAGCAGGAGCAATAGTAAATAGGGAAAAGTAGGAGTTTTGATAGGTGATAGGTCACTCTCCTCCCCCCTCCCCTTTCCTAATTAGTGAGTAGGCAAAAGAAGGAGATGGGATGGGTGATAGGAAGTTTTAGGAAGTCTTACCCTTCTTTCCCCTCTCCCCTTTTTTCCTAGAATGAATCATACCATACATGTTATGACGCGTTTCCTTGAAGATAAAGATATCAATATTCTCTTCTGTAAATACACACAATCCAAAGACTGAACGGGAGAGGGTGGGGGGGGGGGGGGGAGTTTCCAAAAGTCACATACATGGGTTACAAAATTTTGCAGACTTGTTTCTACTTGCAAACGGTAAAAACAATTCCGAACTCGCTCCCGCCACGCCCACTTTTCGAAAATTCTGTGATCGTCAATAGAAAGAATAAAATTTTGTCGCCCCACTCAACGGAAAAATTTCTGGTGCCGCAACAGACATGACTTAACGACGCAAATCGAAGATGCTGCGTCCTATGTTGCGGCGCGGTCTCTAGTATTCTGTGTATCTTCTGCTTGTGTGCTCTCTTTCACTTTCCGCGGGTGTCAGGCCGCGTCGCTACTGCGAACGCATACCATGCGTAGTCTTCGTGGGAGATTCGCGTGGTTGCAAAATATTAGTGATTTGAGTTGATGACGATTTCGTTGGGATAAGCCTTTCCTTAAAACTCTCGCTACACCTCCTGCACCGCATCTTACGCCAAAAATTTTTTTCTGAGTTTATGAAAAAATTTGAGTTTGAGCCGGCAGGGCCACAGCGCTACGGCTTCGCATTTTAAGTTTCACCTCTGGGCTTGTAAAACAACAGGGTAGAGCACGTAATGTCGCCGATAAGCTAGGTTTGCGCGGTCAACTGGTACAGACTTCAACTCGAGCTGTGCGAAGTTTGTAGCAGATGTCCGGATGGAAGGCTGGACTCTCGGCGACAGCGTTCTCTCCCGATCGTGGATTTTCTTGATTCTGGCTGCTCGTCTTTCGCTTCAAAAATTCCTCGGCAGTAGAAAAACAGAAAATTTCTAGGCAACTGCTTCATCGAAAGTCGCAGGTGTAGTAGAAGATGTGTCAGGAACAGCTGAGGTAATTTTCAGAGAATTAAGAATTTTTTATTCTTACCCTTATATTTTAGGAAACGTCCACTTCCCGAGAAGCAAAGAAAAGCGACACTTTGCGTTCAGGACGAGGCACTGGCGAATCGAAGAGACGGTGCACTATTCTGTAAATTCACATAATACTCCTTATCCTCCGGTCACTCGCTCATTCAGTATCTAGTTCCTCCCCGCCCCCTTTTGTGCTTAATTTTCGACTCATCCAACCCATTTTTTGTTCTCTGTCAGCTAGCAGATGAGACTAGTTGTACTTGATTTTGACGCCTTTCTTTTGATTTACTTATTGCGCTAGACGAAGCTGCTATAACACCCCCCCCCTTTGAAAAAAAAATTGTATATGACATCATATAGAACCGATCTGATGCGTTTAGTATCTGTTTTATCCGTTAGAGACTTACATGGATGAGCCTGATATAATAACGCCTCTTCTCGAGATCATGTATTCAATTCGTCCGTTTTATATTACTTGCCCCATTCAGTGCCTGATGCATGTTCAGTTTATGATATTTGTACATTTCACGTTTTTCTTTGTATGTTTGATAGTTGAGTTTGATGAAAAATGTTTTTGAGATTGTGTTCCTCATTGTGCCCCAAAGGGCACAAAGAAAATGAATGTACCAAATTACTAATACATCAGCCAAAATTCTTTTCTATGCAGTAGTTCCTTGTCTTTATTGACCTACAAATGGGAGGGTAAATTTTCTCCGTTCTTGAGATTCTGTCGGCAGCTTTTTTTGTGGCACAAAAAAGCTGATATAACGCTCAGAGCCAGAGGAGTTACCGTATTCTCACAAACATTTTTTCCGACGGGGCAAACCATTACAACCGATAAAAAATGAGTCTGGTATTGTATACGGCGGCTGCATAATAGTGGCAGAAAAGGAGATCACTGACGATTCGAAAAAATGAATTTTAATGTTACCTGTTGATACAATACTTTCTGAACATACCGTGTTTTACTGTCCAACTATTTGGGACAATTTCCTTTGATACACTTCAGAGTTTGTCCACTGCCTAGCGAAAAAAATGGTAAAAATAATTATATCGAATATGGAACGAGTCTTCGCATAATTAGAAGTTCCTCTTATGATTAGAAGAAGGGTCAAAATCGAGAAAAAAAATACTAGATTATTAAAAAATGCTGACAACATTTCGCATAGTCATCGTTCAAATAGTTTCGGTTGTTTTCTTTTGCTTCCTTCAAAGGCGGCGTTCACCCAAATGTCCGGCTTTCATGTTCTTATCATTCTTACAGGCAGCGTCCAGGCAGAATCTCCCACCACCCCCCCCCCCCCTCCCGCGCCCCCCATTTATTATGTAGGACTCAGGAAAGGGGCATCCGTGTTGGTCCGCTTCTCCACTGCTGTCAAATGGAGATAACGGACTTGGAACCGCGAAAGTGCTACCAACCAAGCCCAAATCCTATCAAGCTCCGTCCATCCAGGTAGTGAAAGTTGTGTTTTTAGAGCATAGGGCTTTCAAAGATCGGGTTTTCGGGTTTTGCACATTTTGGACTCCGTAACTGGAGTCAGGGCCGCGGAAAGGCGCCACAATGACAAAAACGTGGAAGGCGAAAATCATGGGTAGACGCCTTTAAACCTTTCCATGGCCCTTAATTTCGAAGGGGTGCACATTGAGTGGGTTCTGCAATCCCGAAAAACCTTCCAGTTTAGAGCCCTACCTTGAAAGATGTGGTGGAGAGTTCCGGCACTAGTCCAATCGTATGCAGTAGGAATCGCGTCGTGCGAGAAGAATACAACTGGAGACAGCCGCCAATCAAAATCTATCCCCCTTTTAGCACCTAGTCTACAAGCAGGCCCTAAGAGTGGGGCATCTGAGTTGGTCCGGTCCTCTAGTGTTGCCTCTAGTAGGGGAAAATGGACCAATCCGCCGAACTACGCCCACCCTATAGTTAGGCCTATCCGCGGACGGCTCCTAAAATTGACTGAAACATTTAAGATTCAATGGGCGAACGTTGCCCCTAATACGCGACACCGCTTGTCTGTCGGAACGCATCAGGGGCAATTTATGGGCGGAGCAGGATAAAAGGGGCGGGGCGGAATTATGAATCTTTGAACTGCAGATCCATTTTCTCATCTTGGGAGCAACATCAGGGGAACGGACCAACGCAGATGCTTCATTTCCAAGGTCTGCTAATAGAGGGGACGAAAATCTTCGGTGGACGCTGCCTCTGTCTATGCGAGAGTTCTCATACCAGAAACGGAGATTGAGGGAACGAATGAGCATCATATTTTATTTAAAAGCAGTTTTTTACAGCGTACATCACTTTTTATAACAAAACGCAACCGCATAAAAAAGAGAAAATATGCTGCATGCATATAAGGCAATGAGTGCATGAATGATAGGGCTGTACAAATAAAAATTTCGTAAACGAGAGGTGCCAGATGAGCCTTACAAGAGATTATCGAAGCGATTATTGAATAAAAATTCAGGGATAGTGGCATTCAAAACAGATGAAAATAGATGAATTTTTCAAGATAACCCTATACAGCGGCTAGATTCTCAGTCAAAAAGCGGCGAGCTTCTTCAGCTTCTCCTCTCAGCTGGTCAGCAAGTGCGCGAAGCTTATTTGCCGTCTCCGATCGTGAACCTCTGGTGATGTTCTGAAAACAAAAGCGGATGTAAGATGCCCCGGACAAATAAGCTGTTCTTAAAAAAATATGCATAAAATGATCAGAGTAAAATATGCAAACTGCATATCTGCGTAGATGTCTAGATATCTGTATGAGTCCTCCCACTCTTCAAATCCAGGTCTGGGCTATGAAGAGAAATTTGAGGATGATCAACCCATTTTGCTCAAGCAAACATACCTCAATCGTTCTAACCGCGGTGGTAATATTCTCTGCCAAACTTATGGCTGTCACAGCTTTTACAACTCCAGACAGAGGGTCGGACATAAAAGTCCTTGCACGACCGAGGCGAGCAACAGTAGCCTAAATTTTGCTAGAAACCAAGTAGCAAAAGATGAATTTGAATTCCCGAAATTCCCACCATTATTACTGATGCCGCGGACAGCACTGCATCTGGACTACTGCCAAGTGCAACAAATCTCTGTCAACATTCATACGAACTTCGATTTTCTGAAAATTAATTTGTTGAATAGTCAGAATCATCAAAACTGTACAATGTAATTTCCTACCGTCTCGATTTTCTTGACAGAGTTGATAAAACTGTTTGTTAATTGTCTATCATGCTCCAAAAGAGCCATAGCAGCTCTAACTTGATTCTGAAGAGAGATAGCTCAAAAACGAAATAAACTCAAGATCGAAAACCTTAATGTTTTCCTCCTTGACAACTCTGGTGGTTATATTTGTCACCGCTGCCGCGCTTCCAAGAGCGAGACCTGTAAACAAGAACTGGTAATAGCCACTATATGCGGCGCACTCTGCCAAGCCTTTCGGTGAAACTGTCGAGTTTCGTTAAATTTTAAAAAAATGCTTGCTACAGTAATCCGACTGGACAATTTTTCAAACAAATCCATGTGGATTGGATAAGTTGTATCCCTTGCTGATATGAATTCTTTTTGAGAAATAAGAGGGTCCGAAGAAATTTAAGAAATGGAGTAAGGCAAGAGAAACACTCAATGTGGGGAGCAGGGCCCTGAATGGGAGTAAAAAGGAGTGCACAGGGTTGGGTAATTTTTTTCGAGTTTGAGACGACCACTTCGGATAGAGAAAGTTTCTGAATGCTAAAGTATACGAGCATCCGAGGGTCGTCGTAAAGTATCAAAATGAGGAAATTTGGCGGGTACAGTCTGTTTATATCGCAACTAGACTGAGCTTGGGGTGGACAGACCATGGAGTCTCATATAGAATTTTTTGTGAAATCCGAAAAGTTGGTGAAGAGAGGAAGGAGAACAATTGGTGTAAAAAAAGACAGCGAGTTTGCAAAATGCAGGGATGTGCAATAGTGCACAGCCTGCAGTGTAGATGAGGAAACAGAGGTGTAAAAGAAGTTGGGAGGAAGCACAATTCTGTGGGGTTTGGTTTGGAAAAACTTCGGAGATTTTCAGCAGAGACGATTCTTGGCCCTTGACTTCGACAATCTCTTAGTTTGTTGAGGTTAAAAAAAATTCTTACCATAGTTTGAGGAGGAAAAGGCTTGCCACAAAACTTCAGAAGTTCTAACAATAAGTTTAGTCACATCCCATAACCGAAAATCTGCTGAACTTGTAGATGCAAATATACCTGCAAGCAAGAGAGGAGGGAAGATGACTCCGACAACCATTACTGCTGCTGCTCCAATTCCAGTGAAGGCACCAACTGCACTCGCTGTGTTGGTCCCCTTCTCCCACTCATCAAGCTTAATCAAAAAGTAACATGATATAGCAACATATTTTTAGAGAAATGACGAAGTGGAAGGGGGGGGGGAAAGAGTGGAGGTATGACGTACGTGCCAAGCCAACCCATGTAAGTTCGCCTCCAACTGCACCCGATGGGTGTACCACTCATCAAGAATGCTGTTGAGTTCATCTTTTTGGTCTTGGGATAATGGCGAAACCTGCAAAGAAGGTCGTAGGTCACTTGAACAACCCAAAGTAAACTTACTAATTCTTCCGAACATTCTTGTTCCTGTGTTGATCCCATAAATTGAGAACCTCTCATTGTAAGCGCTTTCTTAAACGTTTTTATCAAGCTAAATTTTATAAGCTGGACCTATAAGTGCATGCTATCTCATGACGATTTACTAAACAAAGAAATTACGATTTCAGAGTCTGTCGGTGACACACAGTTTCCATACAGAGTTGTTTCGAAGTTGCTAACATTTTGCGCAAAAATTAGTGCTATGTTTAATATGAATATGATGCTCATCCATGAGAAGTTTCTTCTACTAACGTTACGGTAGACCGTAAATTTTCAAAATTTTCAAGAGATTACGACTCTTTTTAGAGGAGAGCTATCTATATGCCAAAAAATTCATAAATCAGACAAGAAAATATGCCAGAGATACAACACTAGCTCAAAAAGAAGCACAGCACTTTCACAAACAAGCTTTCGTGAATTGGGTGATATCAAATTTGGTGTGCGGTTCTTGAAGAATTATGAAAACCGTGAAGCCTACACTGACAAAAACCATGCATTAGAAGTTTCAAAGTCTGAAATTATTCCAAGAACATATTTGCGAGCATTCAAAAAAATATCTTGCCCATTTGTACGGTAATAGCAGTAAAAAAAATCGACTTTTCAAAGTACGACAATTAATTTGTAGTGATACTGTAGCTTCCCCAACTACTTACAAATCTTTAGTATACCGTCCATCACTGAGGTAAAAAAAGGAAACTTCTCTCCTCAAAAAAATGAAGAATTGATTTCAAAATCTTCCATGAGATCTCCGCTCAGTACCTTTTTGAAATGTATTTAATAGGGTAAGTCAAAGCTATGAGAACTTTACATTTCTTTCTGGACCTACGCTCAAATCAGGTAGAATATCAAATCTAAACGAAACGACGCAGTTTTTCCTTCTCTCCTAACAGCTATCGTTCATTCGTTGACCGTACGGACTGCCGACCGCGTGGCGACTGCAACGCGTGCCTTCTAAACTTGCGAAAAAGTGACAAGTTGGACCGTGGCTTAAGATGAGAAGAATTCTTTGTTTCTTTTCTACATTATAAAGATGAGAAGAATCCTCTGTTTTCTTTCTATTCATCTTTTCTACGAAAACATCATGCACGCGCAGCGGTCGCCGCGCGGTCAGCAGTCGTTACGGTCAACGAATAAACGATACATATGTTAATGCGCAGAAAGAAAGCAGAAAGCAGAAAGAGCAGCAGCAGAGCAGAAATGAATGCCCTATGTCTTTTCTGCATATTCTATTGCATAAAAGCAAACTACTTTATTTCTTTTGAAACAGTAGCTCTGAAGAGGTTTTCATGGTGAACAATTACTATGATATGTTTTGAAGAGAGTAGAAACGACTAAGCCAACAAAAGACCCATTTCTCTTCTCTGCTAATATGGTTTATGAGAGCAGAATTAGGCATTTATACTTCTAGTCTACATTATATAATGAAGACGGAGCACATTTCATGAAGGCGCTGCAGACGAAGTGTAGCGGAGACGCTTTTCTTGATTTCGTAACCAGACGCTCAGAACTACAAATATATTACGAAATCTACTGTAGTCGTAAGGAATGTGCGGGTTTCCCCATTGTGAAATATCTAGGCACATTTCATCCAGGAATGAGCAATATTGGGTTGATGTAAAACTCGCAATACGGTTCTTGATAAGGAAACCCAAAAAAGCTAAACGAGCAGTAGCACACCGAAGGGAGGAGTGGAGGGAGGCGCGCGGTTTCTGCTGTCTTCGTGAGTTAAAATTTAGCAAGTAGCTCGTTCATACTTAAAAGTAGTTAAATTATTCTGAAAATTTTTCAGTTCCAATTAGCTTTGTAAAATTTTTTTCCGAGGGCACAAGTGATCTTCGACAGCGGCGTAATTTCTACCTGCCCTATGGGTCTGTGCGGGATGTCCCAAAAATGCTGCTTGATTGTCAATAATTCTCTTGTCATGGTCTTTTAAGAGGTTTAACGGCTTAGATTTACAGTGTTGAGCAACTTAGCGATCGTTCTATATTATTGTAAGATTACGGAGGGAACTTCCGGCATATGGCGTCTCTGTGAAAAAGCTACAGTTTCAAATACTTTCGAAAAAAATTTAGAAAACTTGAGTTCGATAGTCAATGATCAAGACTGTGGAACTTTCTAAACGATGTAACCACATTTTTTGGGAACATAAAATTAACTACTGCCACTACTTACCTGGCATAACTTTCTGAGAAGAAATATGATTAAATACGAAATTTATTCGGAATCAGCAGCTCTGAGCCTAGGTGTGTAAGTTTCCAGGTCGCTTTATTTACTTTCTGGGGAATTTACGCCCCCCCCCCCCTCCCCTGATTCAAAATTCTCTCTAAAGTTCCAGTCGTAATCCTACTGTAGTGAGGAACGATTCGATACGCTTTATACTGTCAATCTAAACTGAAGCCTGCTCCACAAATTATGACCTAAAGCTTCTCCATAGACTTCATAACAAGAGAGATATCAGCAATCAAACAGTAAGCTTGAGACACCTTTATTAGAGAAAACCACATGCCCTTAATTTTATGACCGCTGCCTAATTATAGCTGTAAAATTAGTGACAAATGACATCAGGTTGATGCAAAACAATGAGCGCTTCTTATTTCAGCGTCTCAGGGATATTTAGAGTGGAACGTATCATTTAATAGAGCAGAAGAAGCATTGCAAGATGGCATTTGGAAATTCGCAAAAAGGTGGGTAAAAAAATTTCAATCAAACAAAAATTAGAACTCGATCCAAAAACATCCTGCGTACCTCCCAACTCGGTCACGTATAGCTCTATACATATCAGACATTCATCATTACCCTTAAGTATTTTTTTCGTAGCTCGATACTAAAAACAGAAGTAAGCCAAAAATAGGCAATTCAAGTCTTCATGTTAAATTTGATACATCTCGACAATTTGCGCTCAAAGAAAGCTGAAACTTTATTGTCACATTTCCACAGACTTGTGGGGAGGAGGCATGGTTAGAGTATGTACATACGAACGGCATTGCCAATTTCATGACCTAGAGATAGAAACAAGGCTTGATGCTGAGGAGGAAAATTATCGAAACAAAGTTATCAAGCCCCCGAATTTCGTAAGTCGTTACCGTAACGTGTGGGATGTACTTAAAGGCAGTGCCTCGGCAAATCTCAACCTAGTCAAATTTTCGCTTACTTGGGGTTATTCAATAGGCTGATCACGAAAATCCACTTTAGAGAGTTCGAAAACGGCGAAAACAAGCGTTTCAACCCCCTTCCCTTCCAGATTGGACGAGTGGAGCAAGGCTGATGGCGCTGAATCGTTGCGACCCAATGGTTATAGCATTGCGGCGGGCAGCCTCCAATGGTGAGAAGGAAGTTGCCAACTCGCCCGGGGGCGTGTAAGATTGGCTTGCGCGTGTAAATTTGAGAGCGATTTTCTCCACAGGGAAGGCATGCTGTGCAATCAGAATTGCACTGTTTTCATATTGGACGATAAGGAACCTACTGCGTTAAGATTGGGGGTTGTCAAGTTTTGCTGCCTTTAAGACAAAAAAAACTACTACAAAAGATTGTGAAGAAGATTGCTGGAGGCCACGTACGGAATAGGAGCGCCTTTTTGTTGGATTCGACAGAGACGAAGGCCAATAAGAGCGAGCAAGAGCTGTGTTTCGCAACAATGCCACAATATAAACAGCATGGTCCCGTAAAGAATGGTAAATTCATGTGGCTAAAAGTCTATGATCTAGTGATGTATCGAAGGGAACGACCATAGGTTGCCGGCAACGGTTGCCGAGGTTGATGAGGTTGCTGGCGTTGCCGAGGTTCCCAGTTGCCGGGGTCAGAGGCAGCTTAGAGAGCGCACGAAATCAGAGGCTATCATGTGGTCCTACAACGACCGGCAACCTCCTGAGCAACCTGGGTAACCATTGCCGGCAACCTATAACCGTTCCCAAAGTGAAATATTATTTCTGTGAAATTTATTTTAATCGTCCCATTTTTTACTTCAACTCTAGTTCATGCCTATCTTGCTTCTGAATTAATGAATTTAGACCTTCCATTTGTATAGTTTGATGGAGTCAACATGAAATGTGATCCAGAAAAGATACAATTGCTTCTATCTCAAAGTTTCTTTTGAACATGTTCATGTTTTGCTGAACATACTTGTCATGTATATTATCCTTTCCTTCAAAGACTTTTTGCTGCATTTATCATCTTATTAGAATGGTGCAAAAATATCCGTACTTTATACTACCAGGGGGGCAGGGGAACGAACGCCGCCAGTTTGAGCCCGCCTTTGCTGGCAACTGGTCCTTTTGCAATACTGTTGCATGTCATTTGCAGGACCAGTAGTTCGCGGAGGCGGTTCAAACTGGCGGAGTTCGTTCCCCTACCCCGAGAGATGTATTAAATCGTTGTTCCATGTAACCTTAAAACCGAGGTCTTTGAGCACTCGATGAGGCGAAAAATCAGATCTCCACTCGAGGAACTACTCCAGCATTCCACTTTGTCGCGTTCATTTTCACTTTTTGTGGGCCAAAAAATCACAAAAAGTACTAATCAAATGTTTACCTGTGCCGACTAATTGAGCACTGGCAACCTCCATCCCTAGAAACGCCAGTTTCCTTGACTCCTAGTATTGTATACTACAAACTCCAGAAGACATGATGTTGAAATGAGAACTTCTTGAGTGCTTAGTTGTTATAAAAAGTCTTTTATAATCAAAGAGTTGCGGACCACTACTTTTTTGACAAATAATCCGTCCCATATCATTTTTTCTTTATTTATAGGTCTTGGCAGGACAGCTACAGACAGTTTTTTGTTAGTCTGAATGGGATAATCTGCATAAAATATTCTATACAGTTTTGCACTCTAAGCCCACAATCAACCTACAAATGTGATGTACCAATTCCCTTTATACACTTACAAATATCGAGTGATCACTCACCACAGGCATTGGGTATCGAGAGATAGGGTATGTACTAGGTTTGAGGGCAAAGACTGTTTACTGCTACTTTGAAGTGACATCTCTATCTCCGCATGTCTAAAACGCGCATCAGTAAGAATAAGATTCGAGGGGCTTTAAGGAATTTTGGAGAGCTATAAAATTCATAGTGGGTCATATTGAATATTGTTGTATACATCTCAGACAACTGACACTTGCGTAAACGTGTTGCGGAAGTTCCCGAATGAAGTGTTGCGTAAGTTCCGAAGAATGCAAACCACAACAGAAAAGAGAACACCGTGGCGGGATTTGACTTACAAGGGAATGGTCAGAAGTCGAAATGGCCAAACCAAACAAGCTGTATATCATTAAATGCAGTATAAAACGCTGTCGAATCTGTCTTCATTATCTGCTTATCGCTTCTGCGGACGAAGCTACAAGCGGTTTTATTGTGAAAAAATCATACATAAAAAAGCGAAATTGAGCATATTGTTGCATTTTTAGTCCAGCTTGTGGCTTCAAAAATTTGAAGTAAGCTAGTTGCATGTTTTGGCCCAGCATTAAGGCGAACGTTTCTCTGTACTGCTGAATTTTCAATTTTACGCTTAATTTCTTAGCAAAATAATGATCTTTAATGGCTTATAGCTTCGTCCAGAAAAGCGATAAGCAGGCAAGGAAAACAGATTTAGAGTCAGCGTTTCATGCTACATCTAATGGTATGCAGCTTGTCTGGATTGGCCACTTCGATTTCTGACCATTCCCTTGTTAGCTACTATCCTTTGCCCTACGACTGACATGTTCGGTAATGCACTCTAGTTGTTGGTGAGGCAACATCATAGTAGACAACACATTTCAAAACCCTGAGGAAGTACTGGTATCTCAAAGTGCTGCGGAACCGTTGGCATTTTTCGGAAGTTCCGCAGCGCTTGTATAAAGCCCTACGGAAGTTCCCGTTTTCATCCAATCTGACATGAAAATCCTGCGGAAGTTCCCATTTCCAACTTTCCGCTTTTGCAATAGTAAACAAAATATTGCGGAACCGCTGCAAATCTTGCTTGCCCTGCGGGAGTTCCGATGAATTGTCTGAGTGGAAAATCACTCAAAAGCTAAATGAGATTTTGTACGGAGCCTGTAATCGTTTTCCCTTAGTTGCTCTTGTTGCCGTTTATTCAGATAGTCACCCAATTCATTCAAGTTTTCTGCTGCAAGTCCCACCCCCCCCCCCCTCTGGGAAAAATCCTTTTATCCCAATACACGATTGACTGGTGTACATATGGTCTGACTAAACTTGAAAGCGATAGTGTGCAGTAGGTTAAGGACGGTCATACTTCATGCGATTTCAGTCGCGAAGCAATTTGGCAGTTCGCCAGAAATCTTCAGATCCAACACTAGCAAACTGCGCATGTGTAGTGTGTACAACTTACGTGGTTTGATAAAATGCCCTATATTCTGTACATTCAAAATGTGCTTACAGTGAGTTAGGGACGGTTGGAACACTGCCAAATCGCGTGAAGTCATATGCTCGGCCGGTTAGGTACCATAGATATACTGTTGGCGAATGAGGCGTTGATGCAAAATAAATACAATATCAAATGTCCAGATATCTATGCTTCATACAAAACGTATCGTTGGAAAACAAGCCACATTCAGTATTTTATGGGCGACGAATTGTTTTTCGTTTCTATCGAAAGTATAAATTGATAGCAATTTTTTAATATTTTGAAAACGAAAAAACTAGTTACGAATCTATTCTTTTTATCTCCAGCAGATAAAACATTGAGCAAAGCAGTCTTTGATAAACACCTTTTCTGGTAAGGTAACAACTACAATCAAATGCAAACACTTCATTTTCTCTTCGGGAGTTCCTCTGCCATTAGTTATGCATGCATATAGGATTTGGCTTTTGCAGTTAGAAATATGTCAGAAAGAATCAGTGCGTTTTCTTGTGGCCAGCTTTGCTTCTAGCAGGGCAGCGACAATAACTAGCATCTTCCCCGGGTAATCCAGGATCACCAGCTATTCCCGGAGGGCCAGGGAATCCAGGTGGACCTGAAGTTACAACATTTTTGCATTATCTTTCGATTTATCGGGCTCACCTGGATTTCCGCTAGGTCCCATCTCACCCATAATTCCCATAGGTCCATCCTGTCCCGGTGGACCAGTGTTACCTGGAAATCCTTTAGGTCCAACCATGCCCGGAAGACCACGTGGACCAGGAGGTCCCTTTTCTCCTCGAATTCCACTGGGTCCAGGCGGGCCTTGCTCTCCCTCTTTACCAGCTTGACCCTGTTCTCCAGGAGGTCCTGGTGGGCCAGCAACTCCTGGAGGTCCGGGACGACCCTCGTTTCCAGGAGGTCCTTCAGGACCTGGTAGACCTTGTTCGCCAGGTTGTCCAGGATATCCTGAACCCAATCATATGTATGTACGAAAAATAAATCCATTTGCCAAGCGACTCACCAGATTGTCCCTGCGGTCCAGGTGGGCAGACACGACAGCCTTTTGCGCTCACTTGTTGCACCTGAGGTACAATTCCGGGTAAACCGACTTCCCCGGGCTCACCGGGAGCTCCCGGTGTACCATCCATACCATCCGCGCCAGGACGTCCTTTTGGTCCGGGTGGGCAATCGTTCACTTCGCTACACACTACATTAAAATATTTGTAATCCTGTCTGATTATTGATTACTCCGTGGCATACCGCATTCTCCCACTATCTGACGCTTATTTCGCGTGATTGCTGGTGCTTCATGGCGAGCCAGTTGCAAATCCACCCAGATCTCTGCCTAAAACGTTTTTTTTTGACAAATTTATTTATAAACATGAGCGAATTAGGAAAACCTGCTTTGAAAACGATTTTGAGTCAAAAAATGGAATAAAGACTTTCTGCCACTAATATGATGTAGTCGTCTCAGTAGTAATGTCAGCTTGGATCGCGGCTGTTTCGCCCAGGCCTTGCGTAGCGTTCCTCATTGCATTTTCCCACCTTGTGCATGATTGAAGGCTGGAGTGTTGCCCAGAGCACGCGCTTGCAAACGCAGCGCAGGGTCGAGCGAGGCAGCCGCGCGGAGCGAGTCTCTTTGGTTCTGACACCCTAGCTAAGGCAGCTTACTTAAAAGCCCTGTTAACGACGTCTTACAAATATAGAAATCCCTAGCACTTATGTACACTAGAATAGAGTGGTGTTTTTATAGTGCCCTTACGGTGAAGACAACATTCACGCGAAAACTTATGCTATGTTTTATAATGCCTACGAATTGCGATTTGCGCGAGGAAACTGGCCTTGTCGTGCGTTGCCATTGTTGACGCGCAAATATTGTTGACAACGTAAGAACATATTGAGCTGATTTATGGTAAGTGCTCGTTTTTCTTACCTCAAGTGCTGTGTAGAGCCAATTATCTTGAAAACTTTTCAACATGTCTGAGAGTGCTTTTTTCAAGTCTCATGTATGCCTTCGGTTTCGTACCTGTTTGTTAATCTCCAAGCTTTATGCTTCAAAAGGAGACCAAATCTAATATATAAAGAAACGTAAGCGCAATTAAAAAATCTGCAAATAGCGGGAAATTGCCGTGCGGTCCCGAAGCGAACGCACTTACAAATAGCACCTTTATTACGGTTCACAAATCACAAAATTCTTTTCTCTTAATTTTACCGTGGATCTAGGAGAAATTGCAGGAATGTTTAAGAACACATGCATAACGATTGCCATGGTTTGTGCTATGAAAATCTTGCGCAAAATTTTTGGAAAATTTTAAAGCCAAAATTTTAACTTGAGCCTTCGTTGAGGCCTTTCTGTACTGCCTAAAAGTCTTAAACAAAAAGCGATTGCAGTTCTTTGATAGTATACAAATAGATTATACCTAAACCATTCATTGGTAGGAATATGGTAGTTTTCTCTATTTCCAGCGGAAAATTGGAAAACTCAAAAAAGGCAAATTTCTTGAATTTCTCAAAACGATAAAAAAATGAGTAGTAAGGTTTTTGCAATACTTTCTCTCGCAAAATTTCCGTAAAATTCGAGCTCGGTATCTGTGCTATAAAATGGCCGATTTATGCGCTATTCTAATAGATTTCAGAGTAAATTAAGCTCGCTCATACTAGAATTTCTGAAAAACATTTTTTTCAGTCTTTATGCTAGATCTTTCTTGTAATCGCTAGCAGGGCTCGGCACGAGCTGGCACCAGGGAAATTTCAAAACGAAGTCCCGTTTGATATTGAAAATTTCGTACGAAGTCCCTTTTGACTTGTTTTGAAAACCCGTCATCATTTTTATATTATGTAAAAAATGTAGTAGTGTTTTCATGCATTTCTGATTTCATGAAAAAACTTTTCACAGTTTTCTGAGCTTTTTAAGTGGTCGAATCACATCTTGAGAAGCAGAAAAAGCCAATTTTTCGACGGCGGAGCGGACCGAGTGGTTTTCAAATTGCTATAAAACACTGAAAAGAAAACATTATGAAAGTGTTTCTTCTCCGTATGTAATCTTTTACAGTGTAGATACATTTTATGCAAAAAAGTATGAAAACTTATGTGAGCAAAGTGTCGGTGCCAGCTCAGCTGGCACCCAGCTGGCACGGTGCCAGCTAATTCAGAAAAAAGTTGGGCACAGCTTTCAATCACATAAGATTTCATAAATTTTTGGCCCGTAGTTCCGGTCTACCAACGCGCATGCACACACCAAATTTGGTGTCATACTATTGCGTTTTGGCTGAAAACAACGCTTTTGTTTGTTGATGGACAACTGCCAATGGCATGCCGGTGGCATGCCGGCGGCATTTTTGCGGCAGTTCTCCGCCTCGGCCCCTGTAGAAACGATATCCCATTTGCTTTCCGCGCTGAAAACGATATCCAGCTTGACCCGGTGCCAGCTGTGCTGAGCCCTGATCGCTAGTCATACACAAGTAGCTGCTTACAGTAGGCCTTAATGCACTCAATTTTTCCGGGATAGATTTATCTTTATTCCAGTTGAAGAATAGAAACGTGGACTGATCATGAATAACCATTAGGTTGTCAGATAATTTCTGTTACACTTTCTTCTTTTTGCTGGAAAATTCCAGAAGCTCACTAAAAACCACGAACTTGCGGCACACTTAAGATGTAACAGGCATCTACCCATTAGCATGGTTGATGCCGCAAGTGCACTCATAAGCAACAAGTTTACGGCGGTTTTGGGGACAAACTCAAGTTTTAAATTCTTCTCTGATTTTCTGCTCTGCATTTTATTTGTGCTTTTCCTCTTCTGCATTTTTTTTTGAATTATTCGGGCATTGTCTCTTAAATGGCCAGTGCCTAGTGGGGGGGGGGGGAACTGTCAAGAAATTTGAAGACTTTGCTAAATTTTTCTTTTTTCCGCCTATGCGACGATATCGAAGTGTAGTTCTTTTGACCCCGCACACGTGCCGCAAAGGTGATCTTTCAAAGGCTTCCGAGATTTTTTGACAGAATAAAAATATAACAAAATTTATTCGAATCTAAAATACCCTCAAAAAGTAGGTTATTACTTCATTTAAGAAAATCGAAATGAACAAACCTCCATAACATTGAATTCGTCGACATTCTTTGCCAAACCTCTCTGAATGGCTTGTATTCTTGAAATGAACACAGGCAGATATAATACAGTCAGGACCACGCAAAGGGACGAAAGCCCTATGGCTGCATAAGCGGCCGCTCGTGCTGAACCCATTAGAGGCAATGACTTGCAGTTCCAAAGGAGGTGGTTTTTGAATGTCTCAAGCCTTAAGCGGGTAACCCAACCTCCCCCGTCCCGCCCCCTATGTACGCAGACTGGAAAGCGCGGAGCAAAAAAAAGAGGACCGTTTCACTTCTTTGATGGGATATCACTATTCAGTTCAGATTGCAAAAACCTGATCGGAATTGTTTCCTTCTAAGTGCAAGTTTTTGCGGATGCGCTTGCTTTGGATAGGGTATCAAACTAGCACATCCGGCAATTTATCGCCGTCATAAAGTTTGGAAAAGCTTCTGGAATGTGCAACTAAAACATTTTTTTTTCGAATCCAAATCTAGAGGTTCAGACATTTGCTTTGAAATTGCTAGGATTGGCTAGCATCTCTTTTTCCAGGTTTAGAGATCAGTGGTAAATTTGACGGGGCTATTTTTCAACGAAAATGTGAAAGAAGCGCTCAATGTTAGTCACAAGATTTTCATTATCTTGGTGCCCCCTCCTCCCCGCTCTTCCAAGGAACATGTCACAATTCTTGAAAGTAGCACAAGTTGAAAAATAATGCAAATGACATGTGGGATTATCAACTCCCATGTGGGATTACCCGGTTTTTTTTTTTCGGAATGCGAGATTCAAATTTATAGGGAATTTTATTTGCATTATAAACCAAAATTTGGAAGTCCTAAAATGTTCGGAGGACATTGATAACCTCCTTCATTCAAAAATAATTCAGCTTTTCCTTTCCACCCCCCCCCCTACGAAATGATTTCTCGGACCTCCACTGGAGCATGTTGATCATAGCCATACAATTTTTTTAGTGTGGATGACCACAGTAAATAAAGCTGAAAAGCTTTGAAAAGTAGGTAAGGCCTAGCTATAGGAAAAACCAAATACGGTCTAGTCATTTCCTATAATCATATGTGTTATTGCACATAATGCCCGTCTCTGTCGTCTTCATTCTGGACTTTTGGAGCAGACACTCCTCTAGGTGAGAGCTTTCGGAATTTTTATGCTTTCTTCCCTTTTTGGGTACTTTGAATACTCAAAGTGAAAATGCGAACATTAGTCGGAATGACCAGAGATCAGTTATTTTTTATTTATTTTGTACTGTTCAGTGGACTAAGCGAAAATATCGTTTGTCTACAAAAACAACACACCAACCGGCTCAGTGGCACAGGGCTCCAAGCGAAAATGGATCCTTCTGATCAGGAGGGCCTTATTTTATTTTTATTTTATATTAGGTGCGTCAAGAAGAGAGGAACATTAAAGGGAAAGTTCAAAAAACGCATGAGATTAGCCAGTCTTCAGCCTCGGGGCAAAAAAAAAAGAAAGAGAAAAGGGTGAATAACAGGACACGAAGCTTTAAACCCATTAACGAACTAACTCAATTAACTGAGGCTTGAAGTTTATTTGCACCGAATTCATGTATTTCAAAGAATATTCTCATGCTACCTACTTCTAAGATTTTTTGTTTCATTCTCAATCGCTCAGATTTCCCATTTCTGAATGAGTTGCTGTCTAATCAATTTGATGACTTTACATCATGCAAAGATTTTTTGTTGCGCACCCAAAACGCAAATCTCTAGAACCTGTTGTCTGGTGGCTGTAGCGGATAGCGGATAAACGTACTATGCTTTGCTTAAAACGATCCCCTATTTTTTGTCTGTACCAAAGATAGCATCGTCGACTGCATCTGTATGGAAACGAGCCGCGTTGCCGGTACGCGACACGCCCAATAAGTTTGCAACCAAGCTGGTCCTGGGTGTTATGATTATCGATGTCGAAAAAACCACAGCGTCACACCTCGGTGATCGCGTTTTTGCACCGTTTCCCCTTCATAAAGCTAGATTGGAATGCTGTAATGTGATAGCGGCTGGATCGTTTAATCTATGCGAACCCTTATGTAGGAATTGGTACGCTTGAAGTCTTCTTGGCGATTGTGCAGTTGCACACTTTTCAAGGCGTTTGTAACCGCGCCACAGTCAATCAACCTGAGAAAGAAAGTAGTGTATGATTCAAATAATCACTCCTCCTAAAGCTTAGTTCCACCAGCTACAAAAATTTCAAAAACTTGAAAAAAAAAACCTATTGATGCCAAGGACAACTCCTGAAATGTGCATTTGCACACAAGACACCATTGGGAAACAACTCAGTCGACTGTAAGTTACCCAGAGCAAATCCAATAATATGGGCAGCAAATTTTTTGATTTTCGCAATGGTTATAATTTGGGGGGGGGGAGGGGGGAACTGTAAGATTTGGCCCTTTATCTGGCGCAAAAAGTGCTATTATAACTGACGACTGTTCAAAAATGCGATTATCCTTAACAGTTGAGCCTTTGGTTAAAAAAGTAGAATGGTTTTTGTTTTTCTTTCGGACTTATGACACTATTCGATAGAGCATTGCAAGCTCTACAAGACCACTGAAGATCCCTAAAATCCTGCTCAACTTAATGAGTATCATCTCCGTTATTGGCATATCATATTGCCTTCGAGGGCCATGTTTTAGCTAAATCTGAGATTTTCAAATATTATAATATCATGACTTATAATAAGCGGCTTAATCTGAAGTGGTGTGGAGTTTGTCCGTTACGAAATTACGGTGAGGAATGATTTACGATACTAAACATCATGTGAGGTTAAGATAGCGAGTATGGTTCATTTTTAACTACGGCTCACGTTGCAATAAACCAAACAATGATTTGAGAGACAAGCTCTCAGAAAGTGAGTTTACCACGGTTCACGATGCCAATGCGAACCTCTGCGAAGCAGAGGTGAAGCACTGGTTATAAATATTGGAGCATAAAGTGGAATAATCATATTTGAGCATGGTTAGTTTCGCTCCAAAAGTAAGTAGCCAACCCTTTTTGAACTCAATACAAAGCACTACTTCATCTTTGCCAATTTGAGGTATCCGCTCTCGAATAACCGTCAAAAAAAATTGGGAGCCACCCAATAATCCTTCTGTCCCGTTTTCGCTAGCAGTAGTTGTGCCTTTGAGAACTTGAAGTAAAATAGACGAATGAGGGTCAAACTACACTTGTGAAAACTACGAGGCTTACTAAACTACTTCCAGAAATTTCTTACGGACCACGCTGATCATCATACAGTGGATACATAGTACTCATATATGCATTTGCGAGATTGAGAAAAATAGCCGAAAAATGAGAAAATGTCACTTTTTCCGTGGTTTGAATCTGCCAAATCTGATTTCTCGATTAAAAGGGTGCATACAGAGATAGAATTCTGAGATCATAATCACTAGGATTCGCAGTATACAATCACATATGTGGGAGGAGCTGCGGGGCTGAGTCGCAGTTTCTGGAATCTTTTTCCTCGATTTCTTTGCACGAAAAGAATCAGCAATTGTATGTATGAATATCACTACGCATTATAGTTTGGATCCTTTTCGGCGAAAATCCGTTTTTCACTTGGTAAAATTTTTTTCGATTTCGACTTCACAATCCACCTCGCGACTTGGATGATCAGTGTGCGAGCTTGGTTTTAGTATCGGAGGTAGGTCTCCTTGGAGAACAAAAACTGCTTGATTAGTCAGGAAAGGGGTTTACTTGTGGACAAGATATATTTGTGTCTCTAGAATAATCGATTTTTGAATTTTATCCGGCCCTAAAATTGCATTGCGAATAATAAGAGCCAGTTGTTCATTTTGGAACAGATGCATAAAAAATTGTTCACATAATCACCCTTACAGAGGTTGCAACAGGTCCTTTGGCAGCAGATTTTGCACAACACCGTTGTTATTTCTCCACATACTTCATACTTTCGTAAATTCTGCCAATTTTACCATTAGAAATTCCTTCTTTCCGATGGAAAAGTGCCTCCAGTTATTTTGCAAAGTCTTGAGAACTTGGGGGAAATTTTTCTTCGGCATCTACTAACGTCATCTGAGAATTTTTTCTGCTCTCAGGAGGAAAGAACAAATAACTAACGAAATAGTTGCTTTGAAAATTTTTTGACGTGCTGTATTTACACTTCAAACATTTTTCCTATCAGATCTGCATCCGTATGGCTTTCGGATGTTTTTTTGTAAGCTTGTAATTCCATCGAAATTTTGAGAATTCAAAATCTTCTTATGTTGATTTGGAAGAATCAACTGCAGGTTAGCATGTATAGTCATCCTTAAGGATTCGAATTGGAAATTGATGTTCCTTACTTAGTTAACAATATTCTGATTTATTCATCAATCTCTTTCCTGCTCTTGTTTTCTTGTAACCCAAATCCAAAATCAAAAAAGCGCATCATCATGTCCAGAAGACTGAATTCTCCTCTCCCTCTAAAAATGACCACAAATTTTTAGCTTACGTTGGTTAAAGTTGTGCGAGTTACTTCTTTTCATCTAGAAATAGGTAATCAAAATAGTTTGGAGTTTTTATAAAATTTGAACCAGTCTTACAATAATTTATTCGAGGCTCCAGCAAAAATTCTAGAAACCGTGCCACATGTGAGAAAAACTTCAAATCCTCACTCTCCAAGAAAAGATTTCGCTGACCGTTATTTTCAATGGTAAGTGCAACAATTTAAGTGGTACTCGAAAAATGGGTTGCGAATTTTTTATAAATAGCTTGCGTTAGTTGTAGAACTGTGACAGTGACTACTTTTCACCTGCAAGTGATTAGAAATTGCTTCGAAATGCTAATAAAACTCAAACTAATCTTGTAAAAACTTTTTCGAGGTGCTAACAAAAAATCTGGAAGGCACCCGAAACTTTTTCAGTAAGCGCGTCACTTCATATGAGAAAATTTTTTTCCCCACCCCTCCTGTCAATTTTTTTGAGAATCTTCCATTGCTGTATAGTATTTGCTGAGTCCGAGCAATACTTCAACCGATCTCTTTTACTCAGATTTCTTTGACTTTTTCAAACACACAAACATAAACTACACAACCGCTCGACTATTATCTGCATTCATTCTATGTTGCTTCTTAAAAGACTTTTTGTAGGGTCCTCTTGCAAGACAAAGCTTGATGCGATTACGTCCATATAACCG